ATATGTTACGTGATTTGGAAAAAGGATCTTTGCTGACGATGTGATTAAGTTATGGGTTCTGAGATGGAGAGAATATCCTGGATTACACAAATGGCCCACAATGCCATATATATATGTCCTTCAATTTTAAACCCTAAAGAGTGAATTTTGCCATACGTAAATTTTAACTCAATTAAAGAAAAAAATGCCTATTACCTCTCCCCTCGACATCCCAGTAACTAGTACTGAGACAGGCTAGGAAGCAGGACAAGTGGACAGGGAAACTGAAACAAACTGGCCCAGCAATTTAAAGCCAGATACAGAAGGTCACCTCCTTAGAGTTAACATCTAGGCCTCAGTTGTATTTCAGCTCCAGGCCCAGAAAAGCAGCAAAACCAGGTGGGGGGTGCCAGGACCAACTACAATGACTAAGGACCCCCTGCCCTGAACTAACTAATCAGTAGAGACCCTGACCCTGAAAGAACACACTTGGAAAACTGATGAATATTTTGCTGAAAACCTTCCCTGACACCTCCCCTAAGATTCCTGCTTGCAAGAGATAAAAGCCTCAAGGCAAAGGACTTAGTGTTGGCTCCCCCTCCCCAGAGTACTCCCTGTCTTTCTCTTCCCCTACAGGCATCCATCCCTCAACTGTAAGGAACCCCACAAGGCTTGCAACCAGGGAGCAATGGGCAGTGGCAGCTTGTCCTGAGCTGACCCCCTGACCCTGTCCCCAAGGCTCTGTTTTCTCTGACTACTTAGTGAGCCAAAGCAGCCCAGCCTAGGCTCATTTCCCCACCTACTCCCTCTCCTTCTTCTATCCTAGGCCCTTCCTTGTTTCACTGTCCCCAGCTTTAATAACTGTCCTCTAAAAATCACCTGGACTTGTATTGTGAAATCTTTTCTGCATAAAGTCAAGAACCCACACACTACCAGTCGGCCCTAGGCAGACCCACTCAGGGCCAGGTCCCCTTTCCAGTAACGATACGAAATTCAAAGTCCCTTTATTTGGAAAATCAGAGGTAGAAGAAGAAATTCATAAAAGAAATGGGCTTAGAAAACAAGTTATAGAGATAAAGGAAGGGCCCTTGGAGCTTGGGAGCTAGGAAGGTAATGGTAATGTACCTTGTGGGCGGGGCGAGGGCAGAAGGGGAAGGGAAAGGCGTGGGCATGCTCTGGGAAGGGAGAGTGTGCTGGGTCTTCCATCCCAGGAGAAAAGGTTGGAACAGTATACAAATAGGAGTGATAGCCAGCCTCCAAGATGGGCCCACATGAATCCCACCTCCTGGCATTCACTCTCTTGCGTAGCCCTCTCCCACACTATCACAGGGTTTGCCTGCAGGACTAAGCAAATACGGTGCACCGAACTTTTGAAAAAGAGTCTGCACTTCTCTTGGGTGAAAGCTCGCTCTTGAATCACTCACTCTAGGGAAGCCAGCTGTCATGACATGAGCAGCCTCATGGAGAGGCCCACAGAGTGAGGAACTGAAGCTCCTTGCCTACAGCCTAGTGAGTGAGCTTAGACGAAAATCATCTGGCAAAAGTCAAGTCCAGGGACAGAGACAAAAACTTGACTAACAACCTCATGAGAGACCCTGAGCTAGAACCACCCTGCTAAGGCACTCTGGATTCCAGACCTTCAGAAACTATAAGATTTATTTTACGCTGGCAAGTGCTGAGATACACAGTGTTACACAGCAACAGATAACTCATTAAAAAATGGATCATAACTTACCTGTAAACGTGACTACTGGCATAAAATAAATTTAGACGGCCTCCCCTATCCAGCCACATTCAAACACAGAAATAAAGCCCTTATGGAAAAGGGTATAGAATTAAACAAACTAACCCAATGTAATCATTTTAACCAATATATATTCACCTTAAATGAACCACTTATGACTTTAATATATTAGCTGAAATCTTACAGTATGTGTTATCAGTCCATTTTAGACGTACACCACGCTAAAAGAAAATAGATTTACATAGCTTAAGATCTATGGTACTCCTACTTTTCTTTTTCCTTTCAAGGGATTCCCACCCCCGCCCCTTGTTTAAGGAAGCAGTTTAAAAGGTTCCAAAATTTCCTAAATCAATGATCGACCTGAATTTATCACACATATGCAGATTCAGATCACATACACTCAGGAAACACTGTCTAAATAATGTTTTTAGCACAGAAGGGAATAAGAGAAAAGCTGAAGGAAAAAAGATACCGTCTTGGTCCTCGTGATGAAGACGTCCCTCCTCTTGCCTTGGATGTGCACTGAAACTTCTAAGAACTTGCGATATTCCAGGCAGAAGAAGGTCTCACCCTTGAGGCAACCAGAGAAAGGGATTAAGGTTACTTACATGTTACATATTTTCTACCCGCTGTCCACCTGATACTCTCATTTAGCTGTTCCTCAAGCATCTCCCCCTTAACCAGAAAAGAGACTTCCTTTCTTCAAACCTATTCCTCCAAATAAATAAATAAATAAATACATTAAATTTTGAATTGTGTGTAGGCTTCCTATCATTATAGTGTTTCTTTTCCCACACTAGTTATTTTAACCTACATTTTAAATGTTTGTAAAAGGTTAACTGGCCTACATCCAACTTCTATAAAATAATTCCATCCACTTATGAAGGAGGACATAGAAGTAGTAGTACCTGGGCACTCGCTCACATGCCTGAGTCGATAAAGATGGAAATAACGCCCCATGTGGAGTCGTTATCTTGAAACAGGATAAAAATCACCACGGAGGTGAAACAACTCTGTTAACTGGGTGATCATGGCGACACCCATCATACTTTTTGGGGCAGACCGTTTTCACTGGGGGCGCACAGGTAAAATGGTGGGGTGTGGTAACTGCATTGAGATTCCTGAGGAAAGAATCTGCAGAGAAATCTACGCAAAATATAGATCTGGGGGAAGAAGTTTTTATTTGGGGGGAGAAGTGCTGAAATACCCCCAAAGCCACTGACCCACCACCTGGAGGTCCTGCACAAAAGTGAACCAGTGGGAACGCTGGTGGGTGGGGTGGGGAAAGCCGAGTTTTTTGGAGGGAATAACTTTAAAGAGACGTAAATGGCTACGTGGGTTCGGTGCGGTTCAGAATGAACTTGATTTTCACATTGCTGTCACCTCTGAAATAAACTGAGGTGACGTTCTGGTAAAAAAAATAAAATAAAATAGTAAAATAAATAAAATAAAATAAAATAAAATAAAATAATAAAATAAAATAAAGGGGAAAAAAACACAGAAAAAAACTGGGAACTGCCCAAGACAAAAGCCTCAACACCCACCCCCGGCCCGGCGCTCAGGGGCGCCTCACTAGGGCCCGGGCGGCTTTAGAGACTCGGCAGCGAGGAGGGGGCGCCCCGCTGGGGGGCAGAGACCCTCAGAAATGGGTGAGGTGCGTCCAGGCCCAGCGGCTCGGCGCCCACAGCTGTTCCTCGGGGGGCGACGCGGGGTGCAAAACCGGTGTCGGGTTTTCGCCCCGAGAGAGAGCTCCCCCGGAGACCCCGCGGGGCTGGGGGCGGGGGCTCAGGCGCCCGGACAGGCCCCTTCGCAGCCCCGGGGGGTGGGGACCCCGCCGGGGTGGGAAAGGGTGGGGAAAGCGGCGCCTGAGGAGCCGGGGCGGCGAGTGTGTGGGAACCGGGTCCTGAGAGGCGCGGGCGGCGGCCGCTGTGCGACGCGGGGCGGGGCCGGGGACAGGCCGCCGGCAGCCGTGCAGCCGCGGACCCGCTCCTCTCCCCTCGGGGCGCTCGGGGCGCCCGGCCGCGCCACGCCCCGGCTTACCAGTCCCCGAGCCGCCCGCCGCGCTCCTGACGAAGCGGAGGCGCCGCCGTCCCCTCAGGCCCCAGCGCCGGCCGCCGCCTCCGCGAGCGCCGCGACCACTGACTGGCAGCCAGGTGCGGGCGTGAGGCCGCGGCGCCGGCGCTGCGCGCTGATTGGCCGCGCGGATGGGCCCGGCGCATGCGCGCTCCGCTCCGAGTGGGCACCGCTGAGGCCGTGGGCCTGGGGCGAAGGTGCGGGCCGCGGAGCACCCGGGCCTGGCAGGGTCTCGGCGGCCAAGGTGGCCCGGAGGACCAGGGTTCGGGCCGGAGAACAGGCTGCCGGTCCTCCGGGGACCAGGCTGCCCCCCTGGCCCCCATCTCCTAGCCCCTGACCCCCATATCCTCGTCCTCAAGTGCCCTCTGCCCACGCGGCGCCGCGGCCCGCCCTCTGCTCAAGGCGCTTGGCCGTCCCGCTGCTCTGGCCGCCCGTCCTCTCGTTGCATCTGCGGCCAAGCCAGTCTCCCCTGCAACCTGGTTGTGTACAACTCACAGCACGCTGAGAACGAGCTTCACCTTTTTAAGAGGATTTTTAGAGTGAGGGAGAGAGAGAAACATCAATGATGAGAATCATCGACCGGCTGCCTCCTGCAGGCCCCACTGGCTGGCTCTCAGTGGGGAGTAGGTCCTGGGCAGTGAGGCCCCCAGAACTTGTACTTCAGTGGATCTCACTATAGGCCACCTAGTATGTTCCAGACCCTGTGGCCGCACCTTGTGTGCGGTGGCTGAATAGACAGAGGTAGTGAGGAGGCACCGGATGCAACAGAAAAAATAACCGACCAGGAAATGATAAAGGGCGATGTGGACTCCTGGGACCCAACCTCATCCAGCCTAGAGTCTGGGCATCATGGATGCTCATTTGACCAGTAACTGGAGATGGGAGAATCGGGTTAACATGTCACAGAGGACACCAGACGGTTAACATTGAGGTTCCTTTTATTACTGACATTTCTTCACAACCATTCAAACAAAGGTAACTCCCACATCTACTTCCCAAATCTGAATCCCTCCCCGCGAGAGATACAGATTCGTATTTCTAACACATCTCCCCAAAGAAACCATTAACTCCCCATGTCAACATTTCCCCCCAACACTGAGTAGTTGTCAAACTGTGGCTGCTGTGTTCCTTTAAGATACACTCATGTCTGTCTGGGCTTCAGTGTCCAAGTGCCCAGAATAAAGCCTATGATATGTGCACCCAGCTAGATAGACACATAACAGGGACACAGAATGGGGTTTGGGTCATAGAAGGTTCTATCGCCACAGCGAGGACAGGGGCTAGCACAGAGCCAGACCATGTCGGGCCGCCCCAGCTTCTGCAGCATTTGCTTCAGCACAGCATGCACCTGGGCAAGCTTGCCCAGGTGGAGGGTGCCACTGGTCTCCTCGTAACTCTCCAGGGGGGCAGCATACAGCACGCGGGTCAGCTTGCTCAGCCCGACGGTGTGGCGCAGCAGGTCCTCCAGGACCGTCATAGAGATGGGGTTTTCACAGAAGCTTAAGGTCATGAGCTGGGAGCAGTGGCTCAGGGCAGGCAGGATGTCCATGAACTGGGGGTCCATGATCCCACACTCATCCAAGTCCAGGTTCTGGAGGGTGGGCGAGGCTTTTTCTATCAGAAGTTGGAGTGGCCCCGAAGTGATATTGGTCAGGTTGAGGCCGCTGAAACTCAGGCCTTTCAGCTGACTGACGTTCAGGTGCCGGGACAGATGTCTCAAGTCTCTTTCTAAAAACAGGCAGTTAGTGATGGACAGGGTCTTCAAGGGGCTCTTCAGGGACCTGGGAAGACACAGGTCAGTTAGTTCTGGGGGATGGAGCTGGTGGGCAGAGGGAGATGAGGATGACAACGGCCTTAAGGGAAAAGAGGCCCATCTCCCCAAAACCTAAAGTTCTCCAGATAATGATCAACCCCAGGATGTTGCGTGGTGTAAAGAGTCATTCAAGTCAGTGCAAATTTGAGTCGAATCCTTTCTCCATCATTAATTTGCCGTGTGACTGAATCAAGTGAATGAAACCTCACACACGCCCTCTGCTCATCTGCCAAGTAGAGTGCATCATAACCCTCCGACACCTCCCCCCCGAACCCCCCCGCCCCCGCCAAATTTGTGAGGATGAATGAAAAGACGGGAGGTGCTCAGAAAGAAACCTGACCCAATGCCTCAAGCAGGAGGGAACCAGTAAGTTTTAGTATTGGGAGACTTGATCCTAAATGCCTTCAACTCTGGCTTCCTTCCAGCCACAGCTTGGACCCCCATCACCCTTATCTCTGAGCCCAGTGAGGCTACTGGCAGACGTGCAGAAAGGACTAACCTGGGCAAGGTCTGCCAACACTAGTGGGGGCTGCCAGCCTGCAGGAACTTAGATCACTGCATCATCCACAAACCAACTATCCCTTTTGATAATTCCTTACTCCAGCCTTCTGCATTTCCCACGTATTTCCTTAGCTGGAGCCTAAGGCAACTCTTGGCAGACAGGCAATTCGAGGCAGGTTTGGAGTGAAATGCTCCTATTGACAAATTGCTGAGCTAAGCACTGAAACCTCACCTCTGATGGGCTTTCCCTCATCACTGCCATCCTCACTAGGTTCTTTTCCATCATCTTCACCTAGACATCACATCCTAAGGCTAGAATTCCCCAAGCTACCTCACCCGGCCTCAAGTCCATTACATCGATTCCTAGCAAGGGGTCTCTTTACTACCATCTGTCCTAGTTCATGCCTCCAACCTTTGTCTGGGGGCTTAGGTGACCACATGCAAGCGGACAGAGCAGTGAATGCAACACTGGCTGTGTGGACCGGTGAGTGACGCAGGCACTCTGGCACTGCTGACAGCGGCACGGAGGAGAGCCCGTCACTGTGGACTGAGATGACGGGGCTCGCTCTGGTCTGCAGAGGAAGCTCGCCACCCCTCACCTGAGGATCTGGTCCAGGCGGCCTTTGAGGAAGGAGACAGAGTCCAAACAGAGCTCCTGGAGGCAGGGCAGGCTGAGGAACTGAGAGGTGACCTGGCCCACGCACAGCTCCTCCTGCTCCATGGTGGTGCGAGAGGACGTGAGGATGTGGGAGAGGAGGAACCGGCGCAGGCTGCCCATCTGGCCCAGGTACGGCACGAACTTCTTCAGAGTTGACAGCTTCCAGGTGCAGTTTAGTTCCAAATCCTGGACGGAGTCGAGCTGCACCATGTTGAGGATGTTCATGTTCTGCTTCGACACCGCAAGAATCTTCAGCTTCTTACAGCACAGGTGCAGCGAGCCTCTCCTCTCGGTGACTTTCTTAATGAGGTAGCTGAGGGACTCGTCAGGGATTCCTTCCTTGAGGCAAAGGTCTACGAACACCTGCACGGGGGCCAACGGTGGATTTGGCCCCGCCCTTGACCTGTCCGCTTTCCCTCTCTTCCTCATGGGCTGGGCGGCCTCAGGCTCCAACAGTGAGCACACGTCGGTTCTGGTTCCAGACCACACGGTCCAGAACTCCTGATGAACTTTCTTCTGTAAGTTCAGCAGCTGCAGTTTCCATCTCCTGCGGGGAAAACAGGAGATAGACTGAGGGTGCATGAAGATAACAGGGAATAAGACCGTGACCGTGAGTCTAGGAATCTGAGCACCTGGGCCAGACACCTGAGTGGACTTTTACTCCATACCCCAGGTATCAGGTGCTCCTTGTGCTACTGGGATCCTTCCTGGTCCCCATTCCTGGTACCTTTAGGTGCCACCCCAGGGGGTGGGCTCCTGTTCCTTCGGTCACCCTCTGCATCCTACCCAGCCCTATACACCCAAAGCCTCTTCCCAGAATGACTGCAGCAATGGCTCCAAGGCCCCCCTGAGCTCCCCCTTTGGCCAGCACGCCCCCTGATCCCAGCTCTATCTGCTCAGATCCCCAGGGTCCATCCAGGCTACTGAGCCCCTTCACCTGGGGCGAGTCGCCTGGGCAAGCAGGGCATCGAGCCCATCGAGCGCAGCCTGGAAAATCTCGTGGTCGGGCTGCCGATCCTTCATCAGGGCCCCCAGAGGGAGGCAGGGGAAGGGCCAGGCCTGCACCATCATCTTCAGGACCTTGGTGTGCTTCCCGGTAAAGGCCGCCACAAACAGTGGTGGGAAGAGCTCCATGGGCAGCGACTCCAAAGCAGCGATGGCCGAGGCCTCATCCTTCAGCAGGCCCTGACAGGCCAGTTCCAGGAGTCTGCGTGGGGCCGGGAGGCTCATCCTGATGAAGCTGCCCTGATAGTGATCCTGGGAAACATCAGGGAGCAAGGCATCCTTGTCAGGCTGAGCATGAGCAACCCCGGTCCCTCCACCCTTCAGGGGAACCAGCTGCAGGCCAAAGGCACTGCTCTGGCAATAGTGGGAGCGTCCTCAATTTACCCCGATTCCATTTCCTGCGTGGGGGCCACAAGACCACGGCTCTGCCTCTGCCATGGCAGGACAAGCATCTTGCCAGGCACCCAAGGAAGGGTAAGAACCACTGGCACCCTCCCACTGCTACCCACTGGCAGCATTTCATTCTGCTGAACAGAAAGCACAACCTTATTCCTAGATCTCCATCCAGTTAGCCCTGATTGGGTCTTACACTCTCCATGCAACCAACCGAATCACATGTCCATTCATGAAGGAAGCAGAAAATGAAACCAACCGGGGAGGAGGCTTGATGGGGGCGTTTGCGCCACATCAAAACTCCCAAATGTCCAAGGTCAGGCAGCTTCAGGCAGACAACGGTGTCATCCCCAAAGAAAAAGAAATAAAAAGCAAAATGATTGGATATCAAATCGTGTCTTACACTTTGTTACCTGAAACTGCAAATTGGGTGCTCATTCACGGAGGAACAGAGATACCACTAGGGACCGTTGGTCCAGATTTTGAGGGTCAAGGCTTCCCCAAGGCAGGTCAGGCCAAAATCACAACCAGGAGTTGGCCAGGGGAAGGGAGGGGCTGCAAGTTTGTAATGGGACAAGGGAATTAGCCAAGACAAGGGAAAATATGTTTAAAAAATTCTAAGATTTTGATCTGGAGAAACCTGGAAACTAAAAGGGTAGTGGTTACGGAGGAAAACAGGGGGTCTTTAGAATGCTGTTTCCCCTCCCCTGGTCTGTGCTGACTTGGGAGCCCTTTCTCTGCATCCCTGGATGTCAGTCAACTTCTCATGAGCCCGAGGTGCGGCCCTGATGCTGGGGGACACCCACTGATAACAGAAATCAGGAATTCATGCTCCTGGTGATTTTTGACAGCCCAGGGCTGACCCTTCTCTCTGCCGAAAACTACTCTGGTGTCATGATCTTGACCTCTTCTCTCAGGGTCCTGGGCCCAGTCTGCCCTGACATAGCCATTCTCAGTGCAGCTGAGTCAGAAGTAACACCGGTGTGTGTGTGGGTGTGGGTGTGTGTGTGTCGGGGGGGGGGGGGGGATATAACTAGGTGTCCTAGTACCAACAGCATCTGTGTGCAGCCCGATGCTCGCAGTGCATGAGGTCGTCCTCTCTCCAGCCCCATCTCCAGCCCCAAGGCCTCCCTGACCGCCGTGGGCTGCAGCCGGGGGACACGCTGTGCACTATTGCTGCTTTCTGTCCAGCGGCCTCCCTTCCCCCCAGTGGTCCCAGGGCACGGGAAGTGAGACCAAAACCTACTTGACACCAAACGTGAGCCAAGTCTGGGGGGTGTGATGGCAGCCCTGCTCCTGCACTCCGAGCGGTTTCCAGCCGTAACCCTGGCTTTGGGAATGGGGTCCCTAACACACTCCAGCGTCTGCTCTTCCTTTGCTTCTTGTAAAAAGGCAGCAGGACAAACGCTTTCGTGGGGCAATGACTGGGGAATACAACAGCTGCTCCTGCTTCTCCTCCCCACCAGGGACCTAAGGAGGCAGATTCCACCCACGTCCTCCATGATGAGAAGGGAGGGGGGCCCCCAAGACGGCTCACCGAACGGGCTCACCTGAAGACGGCTCCCTGCCACTCGGGTCCAGCTCAGACTGCCTCAGGTCCTCCAAGGGGCTCCGATGCCTCGCTGGTCTCCTGTGGCCTCGGTCACCGTGTCCACCCAAGTCTGAGCGCGAGAACCAAACGGCTCCAAAGACAAGGAGACAGCAGGTTAACCGAGCATTTAGGAAGCCGTGGGCCACGGGCAATGGAGGCAGCCCTGGACTGATGGGCATCGCCCGAGCGCCGTCGGGCGTGGACAGCCGTCAACCAATGTCTCTCTCTCACATCAATGTCTCTGTCTCTCTCAAATCGATTAAAAATATATATTTAATCATATATTCAATGATTAAACAGAAAACACAAAAACCCTGGAGGCACGATCCCCGCTTTCGGTGGGCATCACCTCTTACCACCGACCGGACCACCGACCGCTCCCCGGGACCGGAGGCCGCCTGAGTGACAGGCCGGGTGGCCTGTGAGGGGCGGCCTTTCCCTCCCGGGCACTGCTCGCCCCGCCCCCGCCCCCCAGGCCCCGGCCCGTCCAGAGGGGCCTCCCCGGGGGGCCCCGGCCAGCCGCTGGCACCTCGGAGCGGACAGGACAGGGGTGGGGGGTGGGGGGCGGGGGGGCCTGTGGCGCCGACGGCTCCGAGCTGCGCCCTCACGGCGTCCCTCAGGCCTCCCGCCCCCCGAGGGGGAGCCCATTTTCAGGTGGAAAATACGGGGGGGGGGGGTTCGAGGGCCACGCGTGACCAGCGCCAGGTCGCCCACCCAGTCGAGAAGGCGCAGGGGCAGCGCCTGAGCTTACGTTTCCCTCAGGCCGCTCCTCGCCTCGTGGCCTCGTGGTCTGGGCGCCGCGGGCGGAGGGAAAGGCGCAATGGCCGCCGGGAGGCTCCCTGGAGCGCCGCCGGAAGCGGCAGGATCCGGCCAATCCCGCCTTCTGGGGCCTTCTCCGGGGAAGTCTCGTGAGATCCTGAGCGGGGTCTCCGGGGGAGCCCAGGAGGGGCTTAACGGACACGGACGGACGGAGAGAAGGGGGAGGGGCGGTGCCTGTGGCCACGCCCACCAGGCCGCCCGGGGTGGGAGGGGGTGGGGGCTGCTTGGGGTCCGGGTGGGTAGGGGGGTGGGGGTGGGGGTGGGCTGGGATGTGGAGGGAGAAAAAGGAGGCCCCCGGACACCCCCAACTTACCTCCCACTCTCACCGGGTCTGTGCTCCCGGGGCCCCTCTCCCCCTCGGCTGTGGGTGCCAGTGTCACCGCCCGGGGGCCCTGCGTGAGGGTCGTCGCCCCCCTCCACCCCCCGTGTCTAGGAAAGAGCTCCCGCCCTGGGGGCCCACGTCCCCCCACCCTGCACGGGCCATGCTGCCGCCCTGGGCGGAGGGAGCCCGGCCCCACGCAACGTCCTCCCCGCAGAGGGGCGCCCTCGGTCCCCCCGCCCCCCCCCCCGGGTCCCCCCGCCCCCCCCCCCCCCCCCGGGGCTGGCGGCCAGCTCCTTCCGACGCCCCGACCCCGTCTCCCCACTCACCTCCCCAGGCCTCCCGGTGGTGGCAGCGTCCGCCTGGAGCCAAGGGCTTCTCTCTCCCCAGCGCCCCCTTTGGGCCAAGTCGCAGCTGGGCCTCAAAACAAGATGGGGCAGGAGCTCCCGAGGGAGCCGCCGACCAAGCGGAGGAGGGCGAGGCCCAGCAGCCGCAGCCCCAGCCAGTGCACCGCCTCTCGGGGCCGCCTCCCGCCCGGGCTCTCCGGGCCGCCGCCAGGGGGCGCTGGGGCCTGGCGTCCTCAGGGGCCCCGTTTGGGCGCCCCCTTTTGGAAAGTCTCTGGGAGAGAAAAGCGGGGGGATCCTTTCCGGGTGAGGAGGGGGGAGACTGGTTAAGAGCAGAGCCGAGGCCCCAGCCTGTCACTCACGCGGCCCGGGATCTCCGTGGGGACTTTTGAAATCGCGTCCTCACGTGACCCTGACTCTCTAGGAAGGTGGTGGTGGCTGAGAGCAACAGGCAGGGTGGTAAGGCTGGCCGTGTGTGTGCATGTGTGTGCATGTGTGCGCGCGTGTGCATGTGTGTGCATGTGTGCACGTGTGTGCATGTGTGCATGTGTGTGCATGTGTGCACGTGTGTGTGTCTACCCTGCCCTTCCTCCAGGCACCCCCCGTGCCTGTGCGCCAGCAGAGTGTAAGGTTTCCAGCCACATGGATGGATGAATGAGTGCAAATGAGGCCACCGCATTGATCCCCAGTGGGTCTGGGATTGTCACCTAGAACAGAGCTGATGAAAAACCTCTTTTTCCCCCCGCTTAGAACTGGAGGTCCAGCCCACCCCTCCCTTCCTCTCCTCTCCACTCATTCAGCAAATGTTTGTCCTTGAGTGGCTGCTCATGCCGTGCTCGGAGATATACACAGTATCTCCTCACGAGGTTTAGGCTGAAAATAGGAAAAAGCAGCCACCCAAAGACAAGAAGACCGTTGTCTTCAAGGGGCGAGTGGTAACGAATTCTCTGAAGAAAACAAAGGGGCTGGTGTGGAAAGTTACCAAGGCGGGCGGCCTCCTGTGTGAGGCCTGAGCAAGGAGGAGCCATTGGGGCTGGAGAGGATCCTGGCAAATTCTGAGACAAGAGCTTGGCCGGTTTGAGAACATGAAGGAGACGGGGGGCGGAGGGCAGGGTGTTAAGCGACAGAAAGGATAGCGGATGCATCTGTGCCACGTGAAATTAAAAGGGAATCCATGAAGCTCAGGGGGAAGGCGGGGAGGGTGGGTGGGAAGAGATCAACCAATGAACTTGTCTGCACATATGCATCAGCCGTGGACAATGGGGTGGTGAGGGGCTGGGGGGTGGGGGGGTGGGGGATGGGAGCAGCTGGAAGAGGTGAATGGGGAAAAAAGGAGGACCCGTGTAATACTTTCAACAATAAAGATTTATCTTAAAACAGTAAAAATAAAATGAAAGAGAGTCTATGTGAAGATGGCTCACCCTTATTTTCATGATCCCGTTGCTTGTCATACTTGCTGAGATTGATAACGAAAAATATGAGGTCTGTACAATTTAAAAGCAAAAATGCAGGTCCCCCGGCTGATTATAGAATGCAACCCTATTCGTGTAACAGTAAATGTGAACATAACATCCACTCATTCCATTGCTTCAAGTCATGCCTCTCAATGTTTACCAAATTCCTGGGCTGCACTAGGCCTGGATGTGGAAGAGGGACTGAGAGCTACAGGGCCCCGCCCGCCTGGGGGAGGTGTAATTCATCTTTGTGGGGATCTTAAAAAGCGAGGCCACGTGTCCAGAAGGTGGTCACTAAAATGATAAGGCTGGTTTTCGTAAAACCCTTTTCTGCATTTTTTAAATGTTTTTTGTCCTAATTGTTTTTCCTTGACTAGCGATGAAAATAGAGCTCTTTTCATTTTGGAAATATTGAAAAATACAGTCAACCTGCACTGCATTGTAATGGTCACCATGGAGACTTTAAAACCCTTCAGTGAGGGAAGAGAGGAGGGGGGATGCTTTTGTAGGAGCTGTTTTGTGTGGGTGCAGCTGATAGAGGCTGGGTCTTGGCTGATCTGTGAGGGGATGAGAAAGCAATGAACTGAAAGAGGAAAATACTTGTTAATAGACATATTTTTAAATTGATTTCAGAGAGAAAGGGAAAGGAGAGAGAGAGACGTCAATGATGAGAGAGAATCATTGATCGGCTGCCTCCCACACGCCCCACACTGAGGATCGAGCCCACAATCCAGGCATATGCCCTTGACCAGAATTGAACCCAGGACCCTTCAGCCTGCAGGCCAACACACTATCCACTGAGCCACACCAGTGAGGGGGGACTATGTTTTTTTCTATGATCACCTACAGTAAGCCGGAAGGACAAAGAACCTGCATTCTCGACCTAACCATGCTTCATTCGGGATAAAAGCCATAGAGCGCTTACCAACGAATGGAAACTTCGTTTTTTGATTTTTCTCACCAGACGCATGCAAGGGTGCTGGGAACTTTAATGAGGTCTTAGTGATTCTCAGGTGAACACTGAGATCAGAAAGGACAAGTCGCTCGTCTCAAGCACAGTGGCCACATCAAGAAGGAATTCGGGGCTGTGGAGTCCTGGCGGGGGGCTCCTGGCCCCCAGAGTGAGGTGCTCTGAGTGTGTGCTTCCAATACACACTAGGCTCCTGATTTGGTAACACACACCAGAAATGCCCTCTCCACCCCCGCCTGCTGCAGGGTTAAGCTGACGTGAAAGGTCAGGGAGAGAATTCGGGGTGGCTGCTATGCGTTCCCTAGGCTGTGCGTCGTGATTTGGGGGAACCACATTTAAAATATATATATTTTTATTGACTGCAGAGAGGAAGGGAGAGGGAGAGAGAGAGAGACAGAAGCATCTATGATGAGAGAGAATCATTGATCTGCTGCCTCCTGCACAGCCCCCACCGGGGACTGAGCCCGCAACCCGGGTATGTGCAAAGACCGGGAATTGAACGATGACCTTCTGGTTCATAGGTCGACACTCAACCACTGAGCAACACTGGCCCAGATGTATAAGGCATTTTTGAACAAAGGAGAAAAGGGGGGAAATGGGGTATTAGATTTCAGAAGTGAGCACAGGCGGTTCACAGGTAGTTGAGGAAGAACAGAACACACATGTCAGGAAAATTCAGAAACAATGAGACACAGGTTAACTAACTCACAGATGACCTCTAGACTAACTTTGTCCATTCAAGAGGAAGCTGATGGACAAAGGGAAATGGCTTAGAGGGAAACAGAAGGGCCCGGGGGCCTGGTACTGAGCCGAATGGGAAAGGACAGAGAAGGGAAGGAGGTAAACAGGATTTCCAGTGCCCACTCAGCTGCCTCCCCAGTGGGTGGGAGGCACACTCTTGCGCCACCAGGGGGCAGCAAGAGCCGGGGTTGTGGGGAAGGTACTTGCTGTGGTTCATGCAGTGTCTGGATGGAGTTTGAAGAGCTGCTTCCCCCTGAGTCCCTTGTGGCCCAAAACAGCTGTGCCCCATAGATCACCTCTTACATATCAGGGGTAATATGTCCAGGGCTCAGCTTCAGTCTCCAGCCACTGCAGAGACAGAGGATGGAGCCACGTGGAGCAGCCATGCTGACTAAGGGGAAGGAGAGGGAGTGGAGGGCCATATGCAGCCCCCAGCTCTGCCATGGGACCTGGGAAATGGAGCAACTGGATCTTAGTCAGCAAACCTGTCCTCACCTTTGAACACACAGTGCAGAGGGGAAGTCCTGGGATTTCTCACCAGGAACCACCATGACTCCCACAACAGAACAGGTAGGTATCCCCCTGACTGGCTCCATTTCTGCACGCTGTCCTGAGCTCTGATCTTACTTAGAATATATTAAAGAGTTTGGTTCTTTCTTTAAAATTTTATTAATTGATTTGAAAAAGAGAGAGAGATCTATTTGTTGTTTTATAAATCAGTGCATTCATTGGGTGATTCCTGTATGTGCCCTGACTGGGGATGGAACCTGAAACCATGGCACACTGGGACGATACGCTGATCAATCGAGCTACCAGCTGGGACAAGAGTTTAGTTCCTGCTAAAGCTCTTCTTTCCAGGGAAGCAGGCGTATCTAGACTCCAGGTCAAGTCAGAGTGGAGTGAGAAGAGGCAGGTGCAGGAAGTGGATTTGCATGGAGGCCCCTCCCTCCGTGAGCCAGGGGGAGGGGATAAGAGAGGTCTGGGGGAGCCAGGCTCAGGCTTGGGGTCTCAGAAAGCAGTGCTCTCAGGGCACCTCCACCATGGCCTGGGCTCTGCTCCTCCTCAGCCTCCTCTCTCAGGGCACAGGTGAGGCCTCCGGGGAAGGGACACGGACACCTGGGCTGACTCTGCCGCCTCCAGGGCCCCCGGGCCCCGCACTGAGCTCACCAGAGTGTGTTTTTGCTCTTTTCAGGGTCCTGGGCCCAGGCTCCCCTCACTCAGCCGCCCTCAGTGTCTGGGACTCCAGGGACGTCAGTCACCATCTCCTGTGCTGGGAGCAGCAATGACATTGGGAGTACTAGTTATGTCTCCTGGTTCCAACAGCGCCCAGGCACAACCCCTAAAGTCCTGATTTATAGGGTCAGCATTCGGCCCTCGGGGATCCCTGAGCGCTTCTCTGGCTCCAAGTCTGGCAACACGGCCACCCTGACCATCGCTGGGCTGCAGGCCGAGGACGAGGCCGATTATTACTGTTGCTCATATACAACCAGTAGCACTCACCACAGTGGTGCGGGTTCATGGGGAAGTGAGACCAAAACCTCCTCTGAACTCCCTCAAGTCCCTTCACTCCTGAACTCAGGCTCTCATTTGTTTATCCTCTGCTATTATTTTATTTTTAAATAATTGCAAACTTAAACACAAATTTAAAGAGAATATAAAGAAATCCTCTGTAATCTTTCCCTGATTCACCACTTTTTAAGTTTACCATATTTGCTTTTCATTTTATTTTCTTATTTTCATCTCTCTCAGCGTATGTTTATGGTATGCATATATATGAGTATAGGTGTATACACATACACACATATACATACTCAACACAAACACCATGACATTCATTTTCTGAATTATTTGAGAGTAAGTTGGATCCACCAGCACCTACTTTTAATATCTGTTTTCGCAGAATGCACATTCAATAACGTACGTCATTTCAAAGTGTACAATTCAGTAGCTTTTATCCTATTCACGAGTATGTGCGTCCATTACGCTCTATAATTCCTCAGCGTTTTTATGCCCCGGAAGCAATACCTCACTCATTGTCAGTCACCCCAGTTTCCCTCTTCTTTCAAGGAACTCCCTCCCAACGGAGGCCATTGCCCACAGAAGGAACCACGCACCGCACGGGCTCCTGTGTTTGATTTTTCTCCTTCATCCAGTGTTTTCAGGGTTCACTCCTGCTGAAGTCTATGTCGGGACTCCATCCCGTAGCGCGGCCCAATGACACTGCATCGCAGGGAAAGACCTCACTGTATGTATCCGGGAATCAACTGACGGCTCCTACGGACTGACCTGCCTCTTCTATCCCAGCCCAGGGGCAGGGAGCAGCTTCTGGGCCCTTGGGCATGAACAGGGTCCACACCACTTCACACGCGGAAATCAAACAGAATCCGCACTCTCAGGGCCATCGAGGGCGGAGCCAGGGCTTCATCTCTCTCCCTCTGAGAGCAGCTCATTGTTCCAGTTCATGGGGGAGGCCCAGGAGGGTGTCCTGTTGAGCAGCATCTTCCCTCCTAGGGACCTGGTGCTGGACCATTTCCTGGAGGAACTGCAGGGGCCCGGAGGGGCCTGGGCCGCAGCTCCATCCCCTGGGCCAGGGGGCTTCCTCCTGCTCTGGCGCTGTCTCTCTCTTTTCCTGCATTTGTCAAATGTTCTGGGAGCCTTTCCTCCGCCCTCCAAAGGCTGAACGGACCGGGTTCACCTTCTCCTTGTGGTTCATCATGTAATGTCCTCCGTGGCTGCATTTGTTCTGAGTTCTTGTCTGTGGAGCTAAGGGAAGGAAAAGAAATCACGTGCATTTCCGTTTATTTTTCTAAATTCCTTCTGTTATGAGATGCATCATCCCCAAAGAAGCCTGAGCGAGATGAGCACTCACAGCGCAGGGAGGAGTAGTACATAGAAACCACATCTGCCTCGGGCTGCATCTCCTCACCCAACGCATGTCCATCCTTCCCACTCCCCAAAGAGCCACTGTGCTGGCTTTGGGGTTAAGCCCCCTATCATTTGCTTTTCGTTCCTTCCCTGTACCTCCCACAACTGCATCCTCAAACAACATAGATTTGAAACAATGAGAATAAGCTAGCCTAGCCGGTTTGTCTCAGTGGAGAGTGTGTTGGCCTGCAGACTGAAGGGTCCCGGATTTGATCCGGACAAGGGCACGTGCACAGGTTGCAAGTGTGATCCCCACTAGGGAGCATGCAGGAGGGAACCGATCCATGGTTGTCTCTCATCATTGATGTTTCTATCTCTCCCTCCCTCACCCCTTTCCCTGAAATCAGTAAATGAAATATATATTTTTTTAAAAGAAGGAGACGTGGCCACCGTGCAGAGAAGGGGGTCGTGTGGCTGCAGCCACGGGATGCTGGTGGCCTGGCAGCTGCAAGAGCCAGGAAACATTCTCCCTGGAAACTCCAGAAGGAACCACCCCCCTGACACCCTGATTCCTGCTACTCTAAGCCCCTGGGGCTTCTCCATTTGACAGAGCTTTTTCTTTGTGCAGTATATTGTCTCCGAACTTGTGGAGACCTCAGTGTGTCTTCACCAGGTCCCATGTCTCCCCTCCAGCCCTCCTGCTGGGGTTTTATTGAATGTTTCCTTGTCCTTGAGCCAAGTGCTGCTTCAGGAGAGCCATAACCTTGTGCCAAGTCCATGGTGGGACGTGTTAAATAGCCTGAGATGAGCATCTGGGCCACCTGGTGTGGCAGGCGACACGTTCCATTCTAGAGGAAGCTGATGGACAAAGGGAAATGGCTTAGAGGGAAACAGAAGGGACCGGGGGCCTGGTACTGAGCTGAATGGGAAAGGACAGAGATGGGAAGGAGGTAAACAGGGATTTCCAGTGCCCACTCAGCTGCCTCCCCAGTGCGTGGGATACACCCTTTGGGCCACCAGGGGGCAGCAAGAGCCCGGGTTGTGCGGAAGGTACTGCTGTGATTCTTGCTGTCCATCTGAGGCCCTTGTGTCCCAAAACAGCTGTGCCCAACAGATCACCGCTTACATATCAGGGCTAATACGTCCAGGGCTCAGCTTTAGTCTCAAGCCACTGCAGAGACGGAGGATGGAGCCATGCGGAGCAGCCATGCTGACTAAGGGGAAGCGGAGGGAGTGGAGGGCCATATGCGGCCCCCAGCTCTGCCATGGGCCCTGGGAAATGGAGCAACTGGATCTTAGTCAGCAAATCTGTCCTCACCTTTTCCCGCACAGTGCAGAGGGGAAGTTCTGGGATTTCTCACCAGGAGCCACCATGACTCCCACAACAGAACAGGTAGGTATCCCCCTGACTGGCTCAATTTCTGCATGCTATCCTGAGCCCAGTCTGATCTTACTTAGAATATATTAAATAATCTGGTTCTTTAAATTTTTACTACTTTATTAGAAAAAGAGGTAGAGATCTATTTGTTGTTCTATATATCAGTGCATTCATTGGCTGATTCCTGTATGTGTCCTGACTGGGGATGGAACCTGAAACCATGGCACACTGGGACAATGTACTAACCAATGGAGCTACCGGTTCAGGGCAAGACTTTAGTTCCTGCTAAAGCTCTTCTTTCCAGGGAAGCGGGCTTATCTAGACTCCAGGTCAAGTCAGAGTGGAGTGAGAAGAGTCAGGTGCAGGAAGTGGATTTGCATGGAGGCCCCTCCTTCCTCTGAGCCAGGGGGAGGGGATAAGAGAGGTCTGGGGGAGCCAGGCTCAGGCTGGGGTCTCAGAAGGCAGCGCTCTCAGGGCACCTCCACCATGGCCTGGGCTCTGCTCCTCCTCAGCCTCCTCTCTCAGGGCACAGGTGAGGCCTCCGGGGAGGGACACGGACACCTGGGCTGACTCTGCCTCCTCCAGGCCCCCTGGGCCCAGCACTGAGCTCACCAGAGTGTGTTTTTGCTCTTTTCAGGGTCCTGGGCCCAGGCTCCCCTCACTCAGCCGCCCTCGGTGTCTGGGACTCCAGGGACGTCAGTCACCATCTCCTGTGTTGGGAGCAGCAATGACATTGGGAGGTATAATGATGTCTCCTGGTACCAACAGCGCCCGGGCACGGCCCCTAAACTCCTGATTTATTGGGTAAACAGTCGGCCCTCGGGGATCCCTGAGCGCTTCTCTGGCTCCAAGTCTGGCAACACGGCCACCCTGACCATCGCTGGGCTGCAGGCCGAAGACGAGGCCGATTATTACTGTTGCTCATATACAAGCAGTAACACTCTCCACAGTGGTGCGGGTTCATGGGGAAGTGAGACCAAAACCTCCTCTGAACTCCCTCAAGTCCCTTCACTCCTCAACCTAGGCTTTCATTTGTTTATCCTTTGATATTATTGTATTTTTAAATCACTGCAAACTTTAACACAAATTTAAAGAGAATATAAAGAAATCCTGTGTAATCTTTTCCCTGATTTATCACTTTATAACATTTTACCATATTTGGTTTTCATTTTATTTTCTTGCTTTCATCTCTCTCATCGTATATGTTTATGTAGGCATATATATGAGTATAGGTGTATACACATACACACATATATATACATAACACAGACACCATGACATTCATTTTCTGAATCATTTGAGAGTAAGTTGGATCCACCAGCACCTACTTTTAATATCTTTTTTCCCCAGATTTACATTCAATAACATACATCATTTCAAGGTGTAAATTCAGTGGCTTTTATCCTATTCACAAGTATGTGCGTCCAGTACGCTCTATAATTCCAGAGCGTTTTTATTCCCCGGAAGCGATGCCTCACTCATTGGCAGTCACCCCAGTTTCCCTCTTCTTTAAAGGAACTCCCTCCCAATGGAGGCCATTGCCCACAGAAGGAACCACGCACTGCACGGGCTCTGTGTTTGATTTTTCTCCTTCATCCAGTGTTTTCAGGGTTCACTCATGCTGAAGTCTATGTGGGACTCCATCCCTTAGCGCGGCCCAATGACACTGCATCACAGGGAAAGACCTCACTGTGTGTATCCGGGAATCAACTGACGGCTCCTACGGACTGACCTGCCTCTTCCATCCCAGCCCAGGGGCAGGGAGAAGCTTCTGGGACCTGGGCATGAACAGGGTCCACACCACTTCACACGCGGAAATCAAACAGAATCCTCACTCTCAGGGCCATCGAGGGCGGAGCCAGGGCTCATTTCTCTCCCTCTGAGAGCAGCTCATTGTTCTAGTCCATCGGGGGAGGCCCCGGAGGGTGTCCTGTTAAGCAGCATCTTCCCTCCTGGGGACCTGGTGCTGGACCATTTCCTGGAGGAACTGGAGAGGCGGGGAGGGGCCTGGGCCGCAGCTTCATGCCCTGGGCCAGGGGGCTTCCTCCTGCTCTGGCGCTGTCTCTCTCTTTGCCGGCCTCTGTCAAATGATCTGGTGCCTTTCCTCCGCCTCCAAAGGATGAACAGAACGGGTTCACCTTCTCCTTCTCGTTTGTCATGGACTGTCCTCCGTGGCTGCATTTGTTCTCAGTTCTCATCTATGGAGTTAAGGGATGGAAAAGAATTCACATGCATTTCTGTTTATTTTTCTAAATTCCTTCTGTTATGAGATGCATCATCCCCAAAGAAGCGTGTGCGAGATGAGCACTCACAGTGCAGGGAGGAGTAGTACATAGAAACCACATCTGCCTCTGGCTGCATCCACTCACCCAACGCATGTCCATCCTTCCCACTCCCCAAAGAGCCACTGTGCTGGCTTTGGGGTTAATCCCCCTATTATTTGCTTTTCATTCCTTCCCTGTACCTCCCACAACTGCATCCTCAAACAACATAGATTTGAAACAATGAGAATAAGCTACCCTAGCCGGTTTGGCTCATTGGAGAGAGTGTTGGCCTGCGGACTGAAGTGTTCCGGATTGGATTCTGGACAAGGGCAGGTTCGCTGGTTGCAGGTTTGATCCCCAGTAAGGAGCATGCAGGAGGGAGCAAGCCATGATTGTCTCTCATCATTGATGTTTCTATCTCTCTCTCTCTTCCTTCTTCTCTGATATCAATAGGTAATATATATATGTATATCATTTTTTTTAAAAGAAGGAGACGTGGCCACCACGCTGAGATTGGGGTCGTGTGGCTGCAGCCATGGGATGCTGGCGACCTGGCCGCTGCAAGAGCCAGGAAACATTCTCCCTGGAAACTCCAGAAGGAACCAGCCCTCCTGACACCCTGATTTCTGCTTCGCTAATCCCCTTGGGCTCTCCATTTGACAGGTTTTTTTTTTTGTTTTTTTGTTTTTTTGCGCAGTATTTTGTCTTCCAAATTTTGAAGACATCAGTCTGTCTTCACCAGGTCCCATGTCTCCCCTCCAGCCCTCCTGCTGGGGTTTTATTGAATGTTTCCTTGGCCTTGAGCCAGGAGCTGCTTCACAAGCCATAACCTTGTGCCAAGTCCATGGTGGGACGTGTTAAATAGCTTGAGATGAGCATCTGGGCCACCTGGTGTGGCAGGCGACACATCCCACTCTAGAGGAAGCTGATGGGCAAAGGGAAATGGCTTAGAGGGAAACAGAAGGGCCTGGGGGCCTGGTACTGAGCTGAATGGGAAAGGACAGAGATGGGAAGGAGGTAAACAGGGATTTCCAGTGCCCACTCAGCTGCCTCCCCAGTGCGTGGGATACACCCTTTGGGCCACCAGGGGGCAGCAAGAGCCCGGGTTGTGGGGAAGGTACTGCTGTGATTCTTGCTGTCCATCTGAGGCCCTTTTGTCCCAAAACAGCTGTGCCCAACAGATCACCTCTTACATATCAGGGCTAATACGTCCAGGGCTCAGCTTCAGTCTCAAGCCACTGCAGAGACGGAGGATGGAGCCATGCGGAGCAGCCATGCTGACTAAGGGGAAGGGGAAGGAGTGGAGGGCCATATGCGGCCCCCAGCTCTGCCATGGGCCCTGGGAAATGGAGCAACTGGATCTTAGTCAGCAAATCTGTCCTCACCTTTTCCCGCACAGTGCAGAGGGGAAGTTCTGGGATTTCTCACCAGGAGCCACCATGACTCCCACAACAGAACAGGTAGGTATCCCCCTGACTGGCTCAATTTCTGCATGCTATCCTGAGCCCAGTCTGATCTTACTTAGAATATATTAAATAATCTGGTTCTTTAAATTTTTACTACTTTATTAGAAAAAGAGGTAGAGATCTATTTGTTGTTCTATATATCAGTGCATTCATTGGCTGATTCCTGTATGTGTCCTGACTGGGGATGGAACCTGAAACCATGGCACACTGGGACAATGTGCTAACCAATGGAGCTACCGGTTCAGGGCAAGACTTTAGTTCCTGCTAAAGCTCTTCTTTCCAGGGAAGCGGGCTTATCTAGACTCCAGGTCAAGTCAGAGTGGAGTGAGAAGAGGCAGGTGCAGGAAGTAGATTTGCATGGAGGCCCCTCCTTCCTCTGAGCCAGGGGGAGGGGATAAGAGAGGTCTGGGGGAGCCAGGCTCAGGCTGGGGTCTCAGAAGGCAGCGCTCTCAGGGCGCCTCCACCATAGCCAGGGCTCTGCTCCTCCTCAGCCTCCTCTCTCAGGGCACAGGTGAGGCCTCCGGGAAGGGACACGGACACCTGGGCTGACTCTGCCTCCTCCAGGCCCCCTGGGCCCAGCACTGAGCTCACCAGAGTGTGTGTTTTCTCTTTTCAGGGTCCTGGGCCCAGGCTCCCCTCACTCAGCCGCCCTCGGTGTCCGGGACTCCAGGGACGTCAGTCACCATCTCCTGTGTTGGGAGCAGCAATGACATTGGGAGGTATAATGATGTCTCCTGGTACCAACAGCGCCCGGGCACGGCCCCTAAACTCCTGATTTATTGGGTAAACAGTCGGCCCTCGGGGATCCCTGAGCGCTTCTCTGGCTCCAAGTCTGGCAACACGGCCACCCTGACCATCGCTGGGCTGCAGGCCGAGGACGAGGCCGATTATTACTGTTGCTCATTTACAAGCAGTGGCACTCTGCACAGTGGTGCAAGTTCATGGGGAAGTGAGACCAAAACCTTCTCTGAACTCCCTCAAGTCCCTTCACTCTTCAGCTCAGGCTTTCATTTGTTTATCCTTTGCTATTATTTTATTTTTAAATAATTGCAAACTTATACACAAATTTAAAGATAATATACAGAAATCCTCTATAATCTTTTCCCTGGTTCACCGCTTTTTAACATTTTACCGTATTTTTTTATTATATTTTCTTACTTTCATCTGTTTCAGCATATATGTTTATGGTATGTATATATATGAACATAGGTATATACTCATACATACATATACATACTCAACACAGACACTATGACATTCATTTTCTGAATCATTTGAGAGTAAGTTGGATCCACCACCACCTACTTTTAATATCTGTTTTCCCCAGAATTCACTTTCAAAAACGTACAATATACACATTTCAAGGTGTACAATTCAGTGGCATTTATCCTATTCATGAGTATGTGCATCCATTACGCTCTATAATTCCTCAGCGTTTTTATTCCCCGGAAGCGATACCTCACTCATTAACAGTCACCCCAGTTTCCCTCTTCTTTAAAGGAACTCCCTCCCAACGGAGGCCATTGCCCACAGAAGCAACCACGCACTGCACGGGCTCTGTGTTTGATTTTTCTCCTTCATCCGGTGTTTTCAAGGTTCACTCCTGCTGAAGTCTATGTGGGACTCCATCCCTTAGCGCGGCCCAGTGACACTGCATCCCACGGAAAGACCTCACTGTGTGTATCCAGGAATCAACTGACGGCTCCTACGGACTGATCTGCCTCTTCCATCCCAGCCCAGGGGCAGGGAGAAGCTTCTGGGCCCTTGGGCATGAACTGGGTCCACACCACTTCACACGCGGAAATCAAACAGAATCCTCACTCTCAGGGCCATCGAGGGCGGAGCCAGGGCTCATATCTCTCCCTCTGAGAGCAGCTCATTGTTCAAGTCCATCTGGGGAGGCCCCGGAGGGTGTCCTGTTGAGCAGCATCTTCCCTCCTCAGGACCTGGTGCTGGACCATTTCCTGGAGGAACTGGGGAGGCGGGGAAAGGCCTGGGCCGCAGCTTCATTGCCTGGGCCAGGGGGCTTCCTCCTGCTCTGGCGCTGTCTCTCTCTTTGCCGGCCTCTGTCAGATGTTCAGGGAGCCTTTCCTCCGCCTCCAAAGGCTGAACGGACCGGGTTCACCTTTTCCTTGTGGTTCGTCATGTAATGTCCTCCGTGGCTGCATTTGTTCTGAGTTCTTGTCTGTGGAGCTAAAGGAAGGAAAAGAAATCACATGCATTTCCGTTTATTTTTCTAAATTCCTTCTGTTATGAGATGCATCATCCCCGAAGAAGCGTGTTGGAGATGAGCACTCACAGTGCAGGGAGGAGTAGTACGTAGAAACCACATCTGCCTCTGGCTGCACCTCCTCACCCAACGCATGTCCATCCTTTTCGCTCCCCAAAGAGCCACAGCGCTGACTTTGGGGTTAATCCCCCTATTATTTGCTTTTCATTCCTTCCCTGTACCTCCCACAACTGCATCCTCAAACCAGGTAGTTTTGAAACAATGAGAATAAGCTAGCCTAGCTGGTTTGGCTCAGTGGATAGAGCGGTGGCCTGCGGAGTGATTCTGGGCAGGGCACAGGCCCAGGTTGTAGGCTCGATCCTCAGTAGGGGATGTGCAGGAGGCAGCCGATCCATAAAATATGTTTTTTAAAAAAGAGTATAAGCTACTGACCAGAGGAGTGAGGATCGGACACTGTGTCCATCAGGGAGGCCCCAGGATACCTCCACCCTGACAGAGGCTCAGGCTCAGTCTTGGGCAGAGCTCCCCGCAGATTTACTGCCCCCTCCCCCCCCCGCCCCCAACAAGAAGACAGACACGGCCCAGAGGAAAGAGAAGGGATCCCAGAGTTGGGTCTGGTCTTGCCAGATGTGGGCCAGGTCCTGGCTCTCCAGCAGGAATCTTGGTGGAAGCAGAGGGGCTGTATATTCCCTGTTGCCTAGTTGAGCCTGGACTCCAGGGGAGTCTGAGAGCACTCACTGGGGGACAGACAGACTCATCTTGGCTGGTGTGGACAGTGGCGGTGGCTCCTGTCAAGACAACTTGAGCACAGACAGGAAATCCAGGCCCTGAGCTCCCAAACATCACTTGGGGGGAGGGGGTGGGCAGAGCTGCTTGCACCTGGGACTCGCCAGCTTCCTCACAGAGGCCTCTTTCCCTCCGTTGCCCATCAGTGGGGGGTGACCATTAGGGTGTGGTGGGCAGAGGGAACTATACTAATGGGCACCCCGGGTTCTTCTCCTGGTACCCGCAGACCCAACTCTGCCCGGGTCCCCTCACCCGGAGGCGTGTGTCCCACCTCCTGAGGACAAACCCGTGCAGGGCGGGGCTGAGGGGCTGAGGGGTGGGCGGGCAGGGCTCTCCCAACCACACCAGGAGGAGGGAGACAGGATCAGGACACCCCCTCCACCCCACCCCCCACCCCGCTTCCAGAACAGCTCCCACTTCTAACGTGTCCTTTATCTCAGCTCATCACTGCACACCCATCACTGGTTGGGAGGAAAATGCAATGATTTCGGTGGGAACCTTTGCAGACTCGGGACTGGGCTGTGTCAGGCCTCAGCCAGTTACAGCTTGTCAACAAGCACCATGGCTTTCAAGTGTGCATGGTCTTTTTTTAAAAAATATACTCTATTGATTCTTCCCAGAGAGGAAGGGAGAGGGACAGAGAGCTAGAAACATTGATGAGAGAGAAACATCGATCCATTGCCTCCCACACACGCCCCACTGGGGATGTGCCCGCAACCAAGGTACATGCCCTTGACCAGAATCGAACCTGGGACCCTTGAGTCCACAGGCCGACGCTTTATTCACTGAGCCAACTGGTTAGGGCATGTGGGTTGCCTTTTTTTCCCTGTTCCTTGGTCTCTCACATGCAACTCTGACCCATGGCGATAATGCTCAGTCTGATTTTAGTGAGTTTAGGAAACGAACACACACAGCGGTACAGTCACTCAGCTGCAGCCGCATTCATTGCACTCAGTGGTTGCTTCTTGCACGGGCCCTGACGGGAGATGGAACCTGAAACCTCGGCCTGTGGGGCCGACACTCTAACCGGGGGAGCTCCCCGGCCAGGGCTTCCAATAAGTTCGTTACACAACGTCCAATAAACGCACCCCAGGCTCAGCCTCAGGACCCAGGCGCAGGCCCATGCACGGGCAGGGCGCAGGTCAGTCCGTCCTATGGGACGAAGCAGGGAGGTTTGAAGGGTGAGAAGTACCCAACGCTGCCTGTTGTCCCTGGAAATAGCGATGGGCTCTCTCCAGCCTGCCTTGGACCCTGTCCTCACCTTCACCCCTCAGAGCAAGAAGTGGAAGTCCCAAGATTCCGCAGGAGCCACAGTGGCCCTTGCACTGCCATGGGCTCAGCCTCTCCTGACTCGGAAAATTCAGCTCAAAGACTTTTAACCCCTCAGGGAGCTCTCTGCCCAGAGTGCAGAGTATCTAGGCTCCAGGGCCAAGTCAATGGGGGGTGGAGAGATGCAGGTGCAGGAGGCATATTTGCATGGAGGCCCCTCCCTCCCCTGAGGCAGGGGGAGGGGATAAGAGAGGTCTGGGGGAGCCAGGCTTGGGGTCTCAGAAGGCAGAACTTTTGGGGCGTCTCTGCCATGGCCTGGGCTCTACTCCTCCTCACTCTCCTCTCTCAGGGCACAGGTGAGGCGCCGGGGAAGGGACCACAGGGCCATCCGGGCTGATGGAGGCCTCTGTCTCCTCTTTCAGGCTCACCTGCGCCCAGCACTGAACTCACCACATTGTGTTATTATTGCTCTTTCTAGGGTCCTGGGCCCAGGCTGCCCTCACTCAGCTGCCATCCGTGTCCGGGAATATGGGACAGTCGGTCACCATCTCCTGTGTGGGAAGCAGCACTGACATCGGGCGTTATAACTACGTCTCCTGGTACCAACAGCGCCCGGGCACGGCCCCCAAACTCCTGATTTCCTACGTGAATGCTCGGCACTCGGGGGTCCCCGAGCGCTTCTCTGGCTTCAAGTCCAGCAACACGGCCTTCCTCCTCATCTCCGGGCTGCAGGCCGAGGACGAGGCCGATTATCACTGCTTCTCCTATGTGGGCAGCAACACTCCCCACGGCGCTGCGGGCTCATGGGGAAGTGAGACCAAAACCCGCCCCGGGCTCCCAGGCGGCCTCCTTGCTCAGAAGACACGTCCCCTCCCTGGGCTGGGCCTCAGGCGGCAGGGCCTGGAGTGCACGTCCGTCCCCCTCATGGCTTCTCTCCTTCTCCCGTGAAGTTCAACAGAAAAACACTGTTGTGAAGTTTCTGGGTATCATGTCAGCTTCCGCTTGCCTGTGTCAAGTGTCCCCTGAGGCAAGTCTATCCTGGATTCCCAGGGGCAGAGGAAGCACACGCCTGCCTTTCCCTGCTGTCCTCGGGGAAAATCTGACATTAAATTCCTCCTCTCCGCACAGCTCCTCACCGCCCTGGGTTCAGGTCTCTAGGAGTGACTGTCATATTCAACTCCGTGTCCACCGTATCTAGTCAGGGTAGTTCCTGTGGTGGGTTATTTATTTATTTATTTATTTTTGTTCATTCTCACCCGAGGATATTTTTCCATTGATTTTTAGGGAGAGTGGGAGAGAGAGGGGAAAATAGGGAGAAATATTGATGTGAGAGGAACACATCGATTGGTTGCCTCCTGCACGTGCCCCAACCATGGCCCTGGGCCGGGGAGGAGCCTGCAACCCAGGCAAGTGCCCTTGACCAGAATCAATCTGGGACCCTTTGGCCCACAGGCTGACACTCCATCCATTGAGCCACACCGGTTAGGGACCTGTGATGTGTTGTTGCTCTGAACGCCTATTCCGAAAGCAAGAGCATCCGAGAGAGTATCTGAAGACATTGCTGAACAAACAGCCCGTAGTTTTCTCTTTATTGTCCCTCATTTTTGACCCATACCCTTGGGGGCTGAGGCTGGAGAATTTGAACGACAGACTCTGGTCTAAGATCCCCCCCCACCCCGTCCTCTCCCCCCAGATCCCTGAACCACTGTGCTTGATGCTGTCCTGGATGTACATGGACTGTCTCCCCATTAGAATGGGCTCCTTTTAAAATATATATATATATATATATATATATATATATATATATATATATATATATATTATTGATTTCATAGAGGAAGGGGGAAAGAGAGAGAAACATCAATGTTGAGAGAGGATCATGGATCAGCTGCCTCCTGCACACACCCACTAGGGATGAAGCCTGCAATCTGGGCATGTGCCCTTGACCGGGAATCCAACCGTGGCTTCCCGATTCATAGGTTGATGCCCAACCACGGAGCCACACCGGCCGGGGGGGGGGGGGCGCCTATCTTTCATGCTGTTGTGAATAGTGGGTCCTGTTTGACTGTCATATGGACTTTGTTACTTTAGAAGGTGACCTTCCAGCTGGGTTTGGCCAAGTTCCATCCCGCCGCCCGTGGACGGGGTGTGAATGTCAGTTCAGCTTGAGGTCTTGGCAGCATCTGTGGACCTACAGCCTGTGTGCCGCACCGAGTGGTCCCCGTGGTGTGGGCAGTGGGCTGCCTCTTGGTTCTGTTCTGAAATCTGCCCTGGCTCTTTGGGCTCCAATCCACGCAAGTGCCCTTCAGAGGTGGGCCCAGGAGCTCATGAGCAATGCAAAGGCTGTTTTCTCAAAGTTTTTCTTGCCGCTTTCTCTCCATCCCTAGATCCCCTCTTAGTTCATCCTCCTTTCGGACTGAAGGGTCCCGGGTTCGATTCCCAGTCAAGAGCACATACCTCGGCTGTAGGTTTGATCCCCTGGTCGGGGCACGTGCAGGAGGCAACCCATCCATGTGTCTCTCTCACATCGATGTTTCCCTCTGTCTCTCCCTCTCCCTTCCACTCTCTCTAAAAATCAATGGAAAAATGTCCTTGGGTGAGAATTAACAACAACAAAACACCAAACCCTCCTCCCACTCAAACCAAAATGAAAGGGTTTTAGAGGCAGGAAAAGGGTGGGACTAGGACAGTGATGGCGAACCTTCTGAGCTCGGCGTGTCAGCATTTTGAAAAACCCTAACTTAACTCTGGTGCCGTGTCACATATAGAAATTTTTTGATATTTGAAACCATAGTAAAACAAAGATTTATATTTTTGATATTTATTTTATATATTTAAATGCCATTTAACAAAGAAAAATCAACCAAAAAAATGTGTTCGCGTGTCACCTCTGACACGTGTGTCATAGGTTGGCCATCACTGGCCTAGGACGTTAAAAGAGCAGATTATTTCGGACAAGGACGCCTTCCCCAGGGGAAGGTAGGGTCTCCTCTCCCAGTTACCTCACTGGCGCCGACCAGGAAACCCCAGGCTCCTTGGCGTAAAGCTGCCCTCCTGGGGCCACTGACTGCCTTCGGTTTGGTGGTTTAGCAGAAGTGACTCCATTCTGACCAGTTGTTTATCTTTAACAGAAAGAATCAGGGGGCCTGGTGCTGAGCTGGGATGAGACAGAGGGAGGCTGGAGGGGAGCAGAGCAGGGCTCTCCAGCTCTGAGCCAGCTCCTTCCTGCTGGTCCAACTCGGGCCGGTCATGTCATCCTTGGCCGCCAGGTGGCAGCAAGGGCCTGGATTCAGGCAGCTCATTGCTGTGTTTTCCTGGGGCCTGAATGAGGTCCCAAGACCTGGTTCCCACTGAGCTCCTCCTCAGGGAGACTGTGGGGGTAGAGCGTCCCCAATCTGTACGGCCACAAAACCCTTCGCCAGGCAGAACATACATGTGCCAGGTCTCAGCCTCCGAGCAGGGCAGAGGCAGGGGACACTGAGGAGGTGGAAGGGGGAGGGATGGGGACAGCCACCAGCTCTGTCTCAGAGCCTGGGAGGGACATCGATTAGATTTCTACCCGCCCGAGCCCCTCTGAGCCCTGCCCTCACCCTCCGCCATGCACAGCAAAGAGCAATTACTGGGCCCGGCAAGCATGGCTCAGTGGCTGAGCGTCAACCTATGAACCAGGAGGGGATGGTTTGATTCCCAGTCAGGGCACATGCCCAGGTTGCGGGCTCCATCAACGGTGTGGGGCTGGCAATATGCAGCAGATCCATGATTCTCTCTCATCATTGATGTTTCTATCACTCTCTCTTCCTTCCCCTCTGAAATCAATAAAAATAAAAAATACATGTAGAAAAAAGAAAGTATTGGGATTGTTTAGCCTGCAGACCAGACCATAGCCTGACACCCATAGCTGGAGGGCTAGGGGTCTCCGAAGTCTGACTGCATTTCCAAGGTGCTGTCATGTGCTCAGTCTTAGAACACCCACATCAAAGCAACTGAATCCCTCCAATTAGCCCTGCCCTCCAGGGAGGCAGAGAGGAAGCCAGGACCAGCTCAGAGGGGTGAGCAGAGAGATAACAGAAGCAGATTTGCATGGAGGCCCCTCCCCCATGAGGCAGGGGGAGGGGATAAGAGAGGTTTGGGGGAGCCAAGCTCAGGCTGGGGTCTCAGAAAGCAGCGCTCTCAGGGCACCTCCACCATGGCCTGGGCTCTGCTCCTCCTCAGCCTCCTCTCTCAGGGCACAGGTGAGGCCTCCGGGGGAGGGACACGGACACCTGAGCTGACTTTCAGGCACCAGCAAGGCCCCCGGGCCCAGCACTGAGCTCACCAGAGTGTGTTTTTGTTCTTTTCAGGGTCCTGGGCCCAGGCTCCCCTCACTCAGCCACCCTCAGTGTCTGGGACTCCAGGGACGTCAGTCACCATCTCCTGTGCTGGGAGCAGCAATGACATTGGGAGGTATAATGCTGTCTCCTGGTACCAACAGCGCCCGGGCGTGGCCCCCAAACTCCTGATTTATGGTGTCAGCACCCGGCCCTCGGGGATCCCTGAGCGCTTCTCTGGCTCCAAGTCTGGCAACACGGCCACCCTGACCATCTCTGGGCTGCAGGCCGAGGACGAGGCCGATTATCACTGTTGCTCATATGCAGGCAGTAACACTCTCCACAGTGGTGCGGGCTCATGGGGAAGTGAGACCAAAACCCGCCCCGGGCTCCCAGGTGCCCTCCTTGCTCTGAAGATGTGTCCCCTCCCTGGGCAGGGCCTCATGCGGGAGGGCCTGGAGTGCACATCCCCCTCATGGCTTCTCTCCTTCTACCTTGAAGTTCAACAGAAAAACACTGTCATGAAGTTCTGGGTATCATGTCAGTTTCCGCTTGCCTGTGTCAAGTGTCCCCTGAGGCAAGTCTATCCTGGATTCCCAGGGGCAGATGGAGAAGCACACGCCTGCCTTTCCCTGCTGTCCTCGGGGAAATCTGACATTGAATTCCTCCTCTCCGCACAGCTCCTCGCCGCCCTGGGTTCAGGTCTCCAGGAGTGACTGTTATATTCAACTCCGTGGCCACCATATCTAGTCAGGGTAGTTCCTGTGGTGGGTTATTTATTTATTTACTTATTTATTTTAGTTCATTCTCACCGGAGGATATTTTTCCATTGATTTTTAGGGAGAGTGGAAGAGAGAGGGGAAAATAGGGAGAAACATTGGTTGCCTCTTTCATGAGCCCCAACCAGGGCCCTGGACCGGGGAGGAGCCTGCAACCCAAGCAAGTGCCCTTGACCAGAATCGAACCCGGGACCCTTTGGCCCACAGGCCGATGCTCCATCCACTGAGCCAAACTAGTGGCCAGGGCCCCGTGATGGGTTCTTGTTCAGAACGCCTATTCCGAAAGCAAGAGCATCTGAGAGAGTATCTGAAGACGTTGCTGCACAAACAGCCCGTAGTTTTCTCTTTATTGTCCCTCATCTTTGACCCCTACCCTTGGGGGCTGAGGCTGGAGAATTTGAGTGACAGACTCTGGTCTAAGATTCCCGCCCCCCGCCCCTTGCCCCCCAAATCCTGAACCACTGTCCTGGATGCTGCCCTGGATGTACCTGGACTGTCTCCCCATTAGAATGGGCTCCTTTTAAAATATATATATATATTTTTTATTGATTTCAGAGCGGAAGGGGGAAAGAGAGAGAAACATCAATGATGAGAGAGAATCATGGATCAGCTGCCTCCTGCACACACCCACTAGGGATCAAGCCTGCAATCTGGACAGGTGCCTTTGACCAGGAATCCAACCGCGGCTTCCCGATTCATAGGTCGATGCCCAACCACGGAGCCACACTGGCCGGGGGCGGGGGGGAGCCTATCTTACATGCTGTTGTGAACAGTGGGTCCTGTTGGACTGTCATACGGACTTTGTTACTTTAGAAGGTGACCTTCCAGCTGGGTTTGGCCAAGTTCCCTCCTGCCGCCCGTGGACTGGGTGTGAATGTCAGTTCAGCTTGAGGTCTTGGCGGCATCTGTGGACCTACAGCCCGTGTGCCGCACCGAGTGGTCCACGTGGTGTGGGCAGTGGGCTGCATCCTGGTTCTGTTCTGAAATCTGCCCTGGCTCTTTGGGGTCCAATCCACGCAAGCGACCTTCAGAGGTGGGCCCAGGAGCTCATGAGCAATGCAAAGGCTGTTTTCTCAAAGTTTTTCTTGCCGCTTTCTCTCCATCCCTAGATCCCCTCTTAGTTCATCCTCCTTTCGGACTGAAGGGTCCCGGGTTCGATTCCCAGTCAAGAGCACATACCTCGGCTGTAGGTTTGATCCCCTGGTCGGGGCACGTGCAGGAGGCAACCCATCCATGTGTCTCTCTCACATCGATGTTTCCCTCTGTCTCTCCCCCTCCCTTCCACTCTCTCTAAAAATCAATGGAAAAATATCCTTGGGTGAGAATTAACAACAACAAAACACCAAACCCTCCTCCCACTCAAACCCAAATGAAAGGGTTTTAGAGGCAGGAAAAGGGTGGGACTAGGACAGTGATGGCGAACCTTCTGAGCTCGGCGTGTCAGCATTTTGAAAAACCCTAACTTAACTCTGGTGCCGTGTCACATATAGAAATTTTTTGATATTTGAAACCATAGTAAAACAAAGATTTATATTTTTGATATTTATTTTATATATTTAAATGCCATTTAACAAAGAAAAATCAACCAAAAAAATGTGTTCGCGTGTCACCTCTGACACGTGTGTCATAGGTTGGCCATCACTGGCCTAGGACGTTAAAAGAGCAGATTATTTCGGACAAGGACGCCTTCCCCAGGGGAAGGCAGGGTCTCCTCTCCCAGTTACCTCACTGGCGCCCACCAGGAAACCCCAGGCTGCTTGGCGTAAAGCTGCCCTCCTGGGGCCACTGAAACTGCAGTGAGCTTAGGTACTGCGTTCGGTTTGGTGGTTTAGCAGAAGTGACTCCATTCTGACCAGTTGTTTATCTTTAACAGAAAGAATCAGGGGGCCTGGTGCTGAGCTGGGATGAGACAGAGGGAGGCTGGAGGGGAGCAGAGCAGGGCTCTCCAGCTCTGAGCCAGCTCCTTCCTGCTGGTCCAACTCGGGCCGGTCATGTCATCCTTGGCCGCCAGGTGGCAGCAAGGGCCTGGATTCAGGCAGCTCATTGCTGTGCTTTCCTGGGGCCGGAAGGAGGTCCCAAGACCTGGTTCCCACTGAGCTCCTCCTCGGGGAGACTGTGGGGGTAGAGCGTCCCCAATCTGTACGGCCACAAAACCCTTCGCCAGGCAGGACATACATGTCCCAGGTCTCAGCCTCCGAGCAGGGCAGAGGCAGGGGACACTGAGGAGGTGGAAGGGGGAGGGATGGGGACAACCACCAGCTCTGTCTCAGAGCCTGGGAGGGACATCGATTAGATGTCTACCCGCCCGAGCCCCTCTGAGCCCTGCCCTCACCCTCCGCCATGCACAGCAAAGAGCAATTACTGGGCCCGGCAAGCATGGCTCAGTGGCTGAGAGTCAACCTATGAACCAGGAGGGGATGGTTTGATTCCCGGTCAGGGCACAGGCCCAGGTTGCGGGCTCCATCCACAGTGTGGGGCCGGCAATAGGCAGCAGATCCATGATTCTCTCTCATCATTGATGTTTCTATCTCTCTCTCTCCTTTCCCCTCAGAAATCAATAAAAATTAAAAAATACATGTAAAAAAGAGAAAGTACTGGGATTATTTAGCCTGCAGACCAGACCATAGCCTGACACCCATAGCTGGAGGGCTGGGGGTCTCTGAAGTCTGACTGCATTTCCAAGGCGCTGTCATGTGCTCAGTCTTAGAACACCCACATCAAAGAGACTGAATCCCTCCAATTAGCCCTGCCCTCCAGGGAGGCAGAGAGGAAGCCAGGACCAGCTCAGAGGGGTGAGCAGAGAGATAACAGAAGCAGATTTGCATGGAGGCCCCTCCCCCATGAGGCAGGGGGAGGGGATAAGAGAGGTCTGGGGGAGCCAGGCTCAGGCTTGGGGTCTCAGAAGGCAGCGCTCTCAGGGCACCTCCACCATGGCCTGGGCTCTGCTCCTCCTCAGCCTCCTCTCTCAGGGCACAGGTGAGGCCTCCGGGGAAGGGACACGGACACCGCGGCTGAATTTCTGGCACCTCCAGGGCCCCCGGGCCCAGCACTGAGCTCACCAGAGTGTGTTGTTGTTCTTTTCAGGGTCCTGGGCCCAGGCTCCCCTCACTCAGCCACCCTCAGTGTCTGGGACTCCAGGGACGTCAGTCACCATCTCCTGTGCTGGAAGCAGCAATGACATTGGGAAGTATAATTATGTCTCCTGGTACCAACAGAGCCCGGGCACAGCCCCTAAACTCCTGATTTATAGTGTCAGCAATCGGCCCTCGGGGATCCCTGAGCGCTTCTCTGGCTCCAAGTCTGGCAACACAGCCACCCTGACCATCGCTGGGCTGCAGGCCGAGGACGAGGCCGATTATTACTGTTGCTCATATCGATATACAGACAGTAGCACTCTCCACAGTGGTTCAGGTTCATGGGGAAGTGAGACCAAAACCCTCCCTGGGCTCCCAGGCGCCCTCCTTGCTGTGAAGACGCTTCCCCACCCTTCATACACAAGGGCCCAGAGAATCATATTCTAATCGCCTCCCTCCTCAGTCACCGTAACATGCAATATCTCTCTCTCTCTCTCTCTCTCTCTCTCTCTCCCTCTCTCTCTCTCTCTCTCTCCCTGTTATTGTTTTGGGACAATCACAGTTTCCTCTTTATCTGTGTGTCATAAGTTCTGTAATATGCAGCTCTTTCCACCCCCCTACCCCCAACTGCAATGATAGAGAGAAGAGGCAATGCATGCTGGGGCAGGTTTACAGTTCTCAGGCGAATCTTTACTTTAAATGCTCTGGTCTCACCCAGTGACCGGTGTGGCTCAGTGGTTGAGCATCGACCTATGAACCAGGAGGTCTCAGTTGGATTCCGGGTCGAGGCACCTGCCTGGGTTTCAGGCTTGATCCCCAGTAGGGGGCATGCAGGAGGCAGGATTCTCTCTCATCGTTGATGTTGCTGTCTCTCTCCCTCTCCCTTCCTCTCTGAAATCAATAAAAATCGATTAAATGCGTTGGTCTCTACACCAGAGAAGAACATCTTGGCTTTACTTCTACTGAAAGGACATTGTCGCATTCATCTCCGTGTGCCCCATGCTCTCTGCCAGGGTGGCCCTCCTGGGTGGGCTGTTCCTCTCCACGCCTGTTGCTGAAAGAAGAGCAACTGGGAAACGGTGACCGTGTTGCTGAGAGACTGAGGACAAAGCGTGAGATGCTCTTTTCCTTTCCGGCTTCCTCATTTACACACCGTAGGCGCATAAGCTGAGCAGGGAAGGTTTTGATAGGGGACCATCTGGAATTGTAAGAAATAGGAATCCTGCTCTGTTCACAGTGAATGTTTTGTTCTGATTAAAGGAGGCACATGCTCACCTGGCTGGGAGTTACACACGGTTCCTGGGAGCTCACCCGGGAATGCGACCCATCCTCCCCAACAGGGAGCTGCCTGTGATCATGGAAAGATGATCAACCTTCTTGCAGAACCCAGAGCCGCCAGCCCTTTGAAGACCCCCAGCCTTTGCACACCCACAGGCCTTTGTGAATCTCCAGCCCCCATTACCTGTCAACTGCCCATTTGGCACACCTTTCATCCCCTGTAATCCTTGTCCTTCTCCCCAATACAAGCAGCGGGCTTATGGGGGGCAGAGCAGGTTTCTGTGGGTGACCCGCTGCTCCCCCAGGCAGCCCGCAGAATGGGAATAAACACTCATATGATTCCACCCTGTTCTGCCAAATTGGCTTAAGTAGTGACCGGCAGCAGGGGCCCATGGCTTGTCCGGCTACACTTTAGGGTGCAGCTCGGTTGTATGCAGACCTTCCACTCCCTTAGATGAGTGAACTCCTCAGCTGGAGGCAGTTCTGCCCGATGCCGGTCTCCCCTCCGCCTGGTCTCTTCCCAACATGGCTGCTTGTCTCCCACAAGGAAAGAGACACCTGGTCGGTGTGTCCCCCTCTGTACAAGAATCCTCATCGTATCTGTTCTCTGTGACAAGCCAGTGCAATGTCCCCCTGGCACACACATGTGCCTGGTGTGCGTCGACAATGCCAAGAACGGCTTGGCTTCCCAATGCACGTGGGCTTCAGCACCGGAAACACTGGACTGCGACCAACTCTTCCCACTTTGCCAGAATTTTCCTGGTTTTAGCACTAAAAATGCCACATCTCAGCCAAAGCCTCATTCTCAGGCACATTAGCATAGATGTTTGCTGTGAAGGTTAGTTTCATGGTTACCTGAGGGAGGGTGGGGGGCGGAAGGAGGGCCCTGCGGGGTGCCCAGATCAACATGATTTGGGGATGTGTCTGTGAGGGTGTGTCCTGGGGAGATTGGTATTAGAACCGGCCACTCAGGAGACAGATGGCCCTCCCCATGAGATTGGGCTCACACAAGCCACTGAGGGTCCGAGTAGCACAACAGGCCAAAGAGGAATGAATCCACCTGGACTTTTGCCTCAGGGGTTGAATGGGGACAGCACATCTCCCCTTCACCTGCCCTGGGACTGAAACTTACCTGATCAGCTCCCCTGGCTCCCTGGCCTTGGTGCTGACACTGAATGGCAGCACCAGCCTGACGGGCTCTCTAGCTTGCAGTTGGCAAGCAGCGCAGGGGACTTCCCTGCCTCTAGAATCCATATCCTGTGAGAGGCAATGCCTCCCAAAGGCTCCTTCCTCCCAACATACATCCAGGGCGGGCAAAAGTACGTTTACCGTTGTTCATGTGGAAAAGAATGCACTAATCCTACATAATGAAAGCATAGTATGCAAACTGCCCCCTGGACCAGGAGGTTGTCCTGGAGTTCGACCAGAGGGCGGGGCCTGCCAGGGGAAGGTGGGCAGTACCTGGCCTGCAGCTGCTGGGGCCTCTAGTGAATAAATAATAACGCAAGAATAAACTCCATGTTCCACACACTCACAGCTGTACCCCTGCTTTCTCCCGCCCCGTGGATTTTCTGGGTCAGGAACAACGGAGCCCATGACAGATCCTAGGGAATCCAGCCACCGTGGGGTGGCCCTACCTTCCTATTGGGGAAGTCACAGTGCAGATGGCAGGGGATCCTAAGGCGTCCACCCATGGCCGCGTGGGACACCGGCGAGGACAGCATCCAGGCCGGCTGGGATGAGGGGATCCAGTTACTGCTCTTCTCGGGGACCACGGGCAGAGCTGCAGGTTTGTCATTCTCCCTCAACCCCTTCTTTTAAAAAATGAATTTTTATTGATGTCAGAGAGGAAGGGAGAGGGAGTAAGAGACAGAAACATTAATGATGAGAGGGAATCACTGATCGGCTACCCCCTGCACCCCCCTACTGGGGATCCAGCCTGAACCCTGGGCATGTGTCCTGACCTGGAATTGAACTGTGGCTTCTCGGTTCATTTGTCAACACTCAAATACTGAGCCATGCTGGCCGGACTAAATGCAGATTTTTAAATATTTTTATATCTATTACGTACACACACACAGGGTGGGGGCAAGCTTAGGTTTATAGTTGTTTGCATGAAAAACAATACAATTAAGAAACAATAATACAAGAACAAACTTTGTGTTTCCCATACTCACCGCTGTAAACCTACATTTGCCCACCCTGTATATGTCAGAGTTTAATGCCTCAGCTAAGTTCTGCCCAGGATACAGAAGCATCTAGAGTCCAGGACCAGGTCAGGGTGGTGTGAGAAGAGGCAGGTGCAGGAAGTGGATTTGCATGGAGGCCCCTCCCCCATGAGCCAGGGGGAGGGGATAAGAGAGGTCTGGGGGAGCCAGGCTCAGGCTTGGGGTGTCAGAAGGCAGCGCTCTCAGGGCACCTCCACCATGGCCTGGGCTCTGCTCCTCCTCAGCCTCCTCTCTCAGGGCACAGGTGAGGCCTCCGGGGAAGGGACACGGACACCTGGGCTGACTCTGCCTCCTCCAGGCCCCCGGGTCCAGCACTGAGCTCACCAGAGTGTGTTGTTGCTCTTTTCAGGGTCCTGGGCCCAGGCTCCCCTCACTCAGCCGCCCTCAGTGTCTGGGACTCCAGGGACGTCAGTCACCATCTCCTGTGCTGGGAGCAGCAATGATGTCGGGGGTTATGATGATGTCTCCTGGTACCAACATCGCCCGGGCACGGTCCCTAAACTCCTGATTCATGATGACACATACCAGCCCTCGGGGATCCCTGAGCGCTTCTCTGGCTCCAAGTCTGGCAACACGGCCACCCTGACCATCTCTGGGCTGCAGGCCGAGGACGAGGCCGATTATCACTGTTGCTCATATGCAGGCAGTGGCACTCTCCACAGTGGTGCGGGTTCATGGGGAAGTGAGACCAAAACCTACCCCAGGCTCCCAGGCCCCCTCCTTGCTCTGAAGATGCTCCCCTCCCTGGGCTGGGTGATAGGAGGCCCGACCTGGAGGATTCGTCCTCTACCCCTTCCTCCCGCCTCTCCCAGAGCCTTGACAGCCAGCGTGTTTTTCAGCTCTTCTCCCCTCCCCCCACGAAATCCACAGGAGCCGAGCTCTTGGCTTTACTGCCTTTGCTGTGTTTTGTGCATCCAGAGGCCCCTCATTCCAAAACGCTCATTGTAACAGCCACAGGGAGGCTGTGCTAGGAATGCTGGGTAGATGTCCCACAATCCTCTGGGAAATCCTCACTTCAAATCCCTGGGCCTCCCACACCTGCGCAGACCAACCTGGATCCAGTTCTCCACTAATGAAGTGGGAAAGACAATAAAGAAAAAGTTTTAATTTCCCTCCCTCCCTCTCTTCCTCCTTTCTTCCTTCTTTCCTCCCTTCCTTCATTCCTTCCTCCTTCCCTTCCTATTTTCCTTACTTGCTTCCTTGCTTCCTTCTTTACTTCTATTCTAAGCTCCCAATAAAGCATTCATTGTAACAGCCACAGGGAGGCCCTGCTGGGCTTGCTGGGTATATTTCCCACAATCCTCTGGGAAATCCTCATTTCAAAACCCTGGGCCTCCCACACCTGTGCAGACCAACCTGAATCCAGTTCTCCACTAATGAACTGGGACAGACAATAAAGAAAAAGTTATAATTTTCCTTCCTTTCTTCCTTCTTTCCTTCCTTTTTTCTATCCTTCCTTCCTTCCTTCCTTCCTTCCTTCCTTCCTTCCTTCCTTCTTTCCTTCCTTTCCAGGCTCCCAATACATTCCATGACCAAGGAAGGTGTGAGGTAGGGATCTGAGGGAATGGCTGTGTCCTCTCAGAACTGCCCTCCGCCCAGGCTGCTGAATGGTTCTCCTGGGGCAGCCTGCACGTGCAAGGCCATCCCATTGGATGGATCTGTACAGTCGGCTGCTTGGTTCTTCAAGATGTCTGTTGGGGTGGCCCCATTCCTCAGGGATCCCCAAAGCTCTTCATGATGATCCAACGCATTTCTAGCCACAATCCCAGTTAAAATGAACCAACAAGTAAAATACATCTAATTTGGAAGAAGTGAAGTCTCCACTATCATTTTCTCCATTTAAGTTATTGGTTGAAATGAGTAACTCCCCATACAATCAGCATGGATCTAGGATTAAATATTAGTGTCTTTAATTTATATGCCGGGCTTCACTGGTCATTAGTCATAGTTGCAAGTGGCCCTTTTGCTTCCTGTGCTGGCTGTCATGCTTAGCATTTCTATGACATGTGTTCTCATGTGGACATGCGTGTGCAGAATGACTGTAATGAGAACGGGGACCCCTGCAGCCTGGGCTCTGAGTCCTCATGGTCCTAACAGGACAAGGACGGAGGACAAGGTGGGACCTCGTGAAGGTCAGAGGTCTGCTTCCCACAGGAAGGATGAGGACAACTGGCCTGTGCCTGGGGCTCCCCATGGTTTCCCAGGAGACAAGGATCCAGTCTGCTTGGTCCACAGGCCCAGCTGATGGGCTTCTGAGCAGATGAGTGACTACTATTATCTCACTGTCACCTCACACTGAGGCCAAGATGGTCTGAGCTTCCTTCCCTGGGACTTGGCTGGCATCATCTGAGGCCACCAGGGGGCAGTGTTGCCTGCATTTGGGAAGGTGCTCCCTGGGGTTCAGCCCTGACCTGCAGGAAGTCCCCTGGGTGCTTACCAGGCCCTTCTCCTGAGCGGGTGGGCGGTGGAGTGGGGTGTCCTGTGTCCGTTCTGTCCCAATTTTTCCCCTCCTGGAAGAGGCAGTAAATGTCCCGGAGCCTCTGACGCTGTGGAGATTGGGACAAGGGACACGTGAGGACTCATTTCAACTGAGGAGCGTCAGGGATGGTAGAGAAAGACAGGGAGGTACCAGCTTTGTCCCTGGTTCTTGGGCAACGGGGGGACTGGAGTTCCAAAAGCCAACCTAGAGCCTGTCCTCCCTCCTCCCAGTGTCTCAGAGGGGAGTCCCCATATTCCTTAGCCAAGAACCACCTGGATACCCTAAGAGGAGGGACAGGACCTCCAAGGTGGCCTCCAGTTCCTCTCCTGTGGTCTCAGGGGGTCCTGGGTGAGGAAAAACTGTCCAACATAATCTCTCAGGTTCGCTGAGTCTGGTGAGCAGAAGCATCTAGATCAAGGGTAGGCTCAGAGGAAGGAGAAGACAGGCAGGTGCAGGAAGTGGATTTGCATGGAGGCCCCTCCTTCCTCTGAGCCAGGGGGAGGGGATAAGAGAGGCCTGGGGTAGCCAGGCTCAGGCTTGGGGTCTCAGAAGGCAGCGCTCTCAGGGCACCTCCACCATGGCCTGGGCTCTGCTCCTCCTCAGCCTCCTCTCTCAGGGCACCGGTGAGGCCTCCGGGGAAGGGACACGGACACCTGGGCTGACTTTCTGGCTCCTCCAGGCCCCCAGGCCCAGCACTGAGCTCACCAGAGTGTGTTTTTGCTCTTTTCAGGGTCCTGGGCCCAGGCTCCCCTCACTCAGCCACCCTCAGTGTCTGGGACTCCAGGGACGTCAGTCACCATCTCCTGTGCTGGGAGCAGCAATGATGTCGGGGGTTATGATGATGTCTCCTGGTACCAACATCGCCCGGGCACGGCCCCTAAACTCCTGATTCATGATGACACATACCGGCCCTCGGGGATCCCTGAGCGCTTCTCTGGCTCCAAGTCTGGCAACACGGCCACCCTGACCATCTCTGGGCTGCAGGCTGAGGACGAGGCCGATTATCACTGTTGCTCATATGCAGGCAGTGGCACTCTCCACAGTGGTGCGGGTTCATGGGGAAGTGAGACCAAAACCTACCCCAGGCTCCCAGGCCCCCTCCTTGCTCTGAAGATGCTCCCCTCCCTGGGCTGGGCGATAGGAGGCCCGACCTGGAGGATTCGTCCTCTACCCCTTCCTCCCGCCTCTCCCAGAGCCCTGAGAGCCAGCGTGTTTTTCAGCTCTTCTCCCCTCCCCCCACGAAATCCACAGGAGCCGAGCTCTCGGCTTTACTGCCTTTGCTGTGTTTTGTGCATCCAGCGTCCCCTCATTCCAAAACGCTCATTGTAACAGCCACAGGGAGGCCGTGCTCGGCATGCTGAGTAGATTTCCCATAATCCTCTGGGAAATCCTCACTTCAAATCCCTGTGCCTCCCACACCTGTGCAGACCAACCTGGATCCAGTTCTCCACTAATGAAGTGGGAAAGACAATAAAGAAAAAGTTTTAATTTCCCTCCCTCCCTCTCTTCCTCCTTTCTTCCTTCTTTCCTCCCTTCCTTCATTCCTTCCTCCTTCCCTTCCTATTTTCCTTACTTGCTTCCTTGCTTCCTTCTTTACTTCTGTTCTAAGCTCCCAATAAAGCATTCATTGTAACAGCCACAGGGAGGCCCTGCTGGGCTTGCTGGGTATATTTCCCACAATCCTCTGGGAAATCCTCATTTCAAAACCCTGGGCCTCCCACACCTGTGCAGACCAACCTGAATCCAGTTCTCCACTAATGAACTGGGACAGAGAATAAAGAAAAAGTTATAATTTTCCTTCCTTCCTTCCTTCCTTCCTTCCTTCCTTCCTTCTTTCCTTCCTTTCCAGGCTCCCAATACTTTCCATGACCAAGGAAGGTGTGAGGTAGGGATCTGAGGGAATGGCTGTGTCCTCTCAGAACTGCCCTCCGCCCAGGTTGCTGAATGGTTCTCCTGGGGCAGCCTGCACGTGCAAGGCCATCCCATTGGATGGATCTTTCCAGTTGGCTGCTTGGTTCTTCAAGATGTCTGTTGGGGTGGCCCCATTCCTCAGGGATCCCCAAAGCTCTTCATGATGATCCAACGCATTTCCAGCCACAATCCCAGTTAAAATGAACCAACAAGTAAAATACATCTAATTTGCAAGAAGTGAAGTCTCCACTATCATTTTCTCCATTTAAGTTATTGGTTGAAATGAGTAACACCCCATACAATCAGCATGGATCTGGGATTAAATATTAGTGTCTTTAATTTATATGCCGGGCTTCACTGGTCATTAGTCATAGTTGCAAGTGGCCCTTTTGCTTCCTGTGCTGGCTGACATGCTTAGGATTTCTATGACATGTGTTCTCATGTGGACATGCGTGTGCAGAATGACTGTAATGAGAACGGGGACCCCTGCAGCCTGGGCTCTGAGTCCTCATGGTCCTAACAGGACAAGGACGGAGGACAAGGTGGGACCTCGTGAAGGTCAGAGGTCTGCTTCCCACAGGAAGGATGAGGACAACTGGCCTGTGCCCGGGGCTCCCCATGGTTTCCCAGGAGACAAGGATCCAGTCTGCTTGGTCCACAGGCCCAGCTGATGGGCTTCTGAGCAGATGAGTGACTACTATTATCTCACTGTCACCTCACACTGAGGCCAAGATGGTCTGAGCTTCCTTCCCTGGGACTTGGCTGGCATCATCTGAGGCCACCAGGGGGCAGTGTTGCCTGCATTTGGGAAGGTGCTCCCTGGGGTTCAGTCCTGACCTGCAGGAAGTCCCCTGGGTGCTTACCAGGCCCTTCTCCTGAGCGGGTGGGCGGTGGAGTGGGGTGTCCTGTGTCCGTTCTGTCCCAATTTTTCCCCTCCTGGAAGAGGTAGCAAATGTCCCGGAGCCTCAGACGCTGTGGAGATTGGGACAAGGGACACGTGAGGACTCATTTCAACTGAGGAGCCACAGGGAAGGTAGAGAAAGGCTGGGAGATACCGGCTTTGCCCGCGGTTCTTGGGCAATAGGGGGACTGGAGTTCCAAAAGCCAACCTAGAGCCTGTCCTCCCTCCTCCCAGTGTCTCAGAGGGGAGTCCCCGTATTCCTCAGCCAAGAACCACCTGTAGGTGCCCAAAGAGGAGGGACAGGACCTCCAAGGTGTCCTCCAGTTCCTCTCCTGTGGTCTCAGGGGGTCCTGGGTGAGGAAAAACTGTCCAACATAATCTCTCAGGTTCGCTGAGTCTGGTGAGCAGAAGCATCTAGATCAAGGGTAGGCTCAGAGGAGGGAGAAGACAGGCAGGTGCAGGAAGTGGATTTGCATGGATGCCCCTCCCTCCTCTGAGTCAGGGGGAGGGGATAAGAGAGGTCTGGGGGAGCCAGGCTCAGGCTGGGGTCTCAGAAGGCAGCGCTCTCAGGGCACCTCCACCATGGCCTGGGCTCTGCTCCTCCTCAGCCTCCTCTCTCAGGGCACAGGTGAGGCCTCCGGGGAGGGACACGGGCACCTGGGCTGACTCTGCCTCCTCCAGGCCCCCCGGGCCCAGCACTGAGCTCACCAGAGTGTGTTGTTGCTCTTTTCAGGGTCCTGGGCCCAGGCTCCCCTCACTCAGCCGCCCTCAGTGTCTGGGACTCCAGGGACGTCAGTCACCATCTCCTGTGCTGGGAGCAGCAATGACATTGGGAGGTATAATGAGGTCTCCTGGTACCAACAGCGCCCGGGCACGGCCCCTAAACTCCTGATTTATAGGGTCAGCACCCGGCCCTCGGGGATCCCTGAGCGCTTCTCTGGCTCCAAGTCTGGCAACACGGCCACCCTGACCATCTCTGGGCTGCAGGCCGAGGACGAGGCCGATTATCACTGCTGCTCATATGCAGGCAGTGGCACTCTCCACAGTGGTGCGGGTTCATGGGGAAGTGAGACCAAAACCTACCCCAGGCTCCCAGGCCCCCTCCTTGCTCTGAAGATGCTCCCCTCCCTGGGCAGGGCGATAGGGGGCCTGGCCTGGAGGATTCGTCCTCTACCCCTTCCTCCCGCCTCTCCCAGAGCCTTGACAGCCAGCGTGTTTTTCAGCTCTTCTCCCCTCCCCCCACGAAATCCACAGGAGCCGAGCTCTCAGGTTACTGCCTGTGCTGTGTTTTGTGCATCCAGAGGCCCCTCATTCCAAAGCGCTCATTGTAACAGCCACAGGGAGGCTGTGCTAGGAATGCTGGGTAGATGTCCCACAATCCTCTGGGACATCCTCACTTCAAATCCCTGGGCCTCCCACACCTGTGCAGACCAACCTGGATCCAGTTCTCAACTAATGAAGTGGGAAAGACAATAAAGAAAATGTTTTAATTTCCTGCCTCCTTCCTTCCTTCCTTCCTTCCTTCCTTCCTTCCTTCCTTCCTTCCTTCCTTCCTTCCTTCCTTCCTTCTTTCCTTCCTTTTTGGACTCCCAATACTTCCCATGACCAAGGAAGTTGTGAGGTGGGGATCTGAAGGAAAGGCTGTGTCCTCTCAGAACTGCCCTCCACCCAGGGGGCGGGGCCTGCCAGGGGAAGGTAGGCAGTACCTGGCCAGCTGCCCGCAGCTGCTGGGGCTTCTAGTGAATACATAATAACACAAGAATAAACTCCATGTTCCACATACTCACAGCTGTAAACCTGCTTTCTCCTACCCCATGTATTTTGTCATTCAGGATAGAGAGAGCCCATGCCATGGCCGAGGGATGAAGCCCGCCGTGGGGTGTCCCTACCTTCTTATTGGGGAAGTCACAGTGCAGATGGCAGGGGGATCCTAGGGCATTCATGGGCGAGTGGGACACAGGCGAGGACAACATCCAGGCTGGCTGGGATGAAGGAGATTCAGTTACTGCTTTTCTGGAGAGGAAGGGGGACGGAAAGAGAAACATCATTGATGAGAAACATTGATTGGCTGCCTCTTGTGTCCCAAAACAGCTGTGCTCAATAGATCAAGGTCGCCTGGGAAGTACATCAGTAATTTCTCTGCCTCTGGCCATGGGATCCTGGCCTCTTCCACCCCAGCATGACCACTGTCCCCACAGGCTCCTCCCAGCCCCCAAGCCCCGCCCCGTGGGTGAGTCCTCACCAGACAGGAGGCCTGAGGGTTGTCCATATGCCCAGAGAGGAGGCCAGGGTGCTGGGTCAGGGGTCAGAAATATCTCTTTTTCTTAAAAAAGTTTTTATTGATTTCAGAGAAAGTAGGGAAAGGGAGAGAGAGATGGAAACATCAATGATGAGGGAATCACCGATTGACAACCTCCTGCACCCCTCCTACTGGGGATGGAGCCCCCAACAGGGCATGGGCCTTGACCTGGAATCTAATCAGGACCTCCTGGTTCATGGTCGATGCTCCAACATCGTGCCACACCAGCCGGACAGACCTTTCTAACTGGACAGCACAGGGCGCTCTGGGAACCTGGCTCAGGCCTGTGCATGGAGCCCTGGCACAGCCTCCTCCACTGAGCCCTGTGCTGCTCAGCAGGGAGACACCCCTGAGGCCCAGGAGGAAGGAAGTGGATTTGCATGAGGCCCCGCCCACCCAGGGGTGAGGAGCCTTGAAGACCACACCCCAGCTGAGGGCTCAGAACAGAGCCTGGAGCCTCACCATGGCCTGGACCTTCCTGCTCCCCCTCCTCACACTCTGCACAGGTGCTGCCCCAGGCTCAGGCCCCGAAACCAGAGAGCAGCCTGGCCATGACCTTCAGCTCAGCTCAGGGGACGTTTCGGGGTGTGGGCCTCTGGGACTGAGAGCCTCATGCCCACACTCTCCTCACCTCTCCTCTCCTCTCCTCTCCTCTCTTACAGGTCCTGTGGCCTCTTCAGTAGTGACTCAGCCCCCAGCAGTGTCTGTGGCCCCGGGACAGATGGCCCGGATCACCTGCCAGGGAGATCTCATAGAAAAAGCTTATCCTGTATGGCTCCAGCAGAAGCCCGGCCAGGCCCCGGTGGTGGTCATGTATGATAACAACAACCGACCCTCAGGGATCCCTGAGCGATTCTCTAGCTCTGACTCAGGGGACACCAACACCCTGATCATCAGCGGGGCCCAGGCCCAGGACGAGGCCGACTATTACTGTGCGGTGTGGGACGGCAGTGCTAAAGCTCACAGTGACACAGGCGGATGGGGAAGTGGGACAGAAACCTCCCTGTGTCACCCTCTCCTCCAGCCCCGAGGACTGCAGACCAAGCCCTGTGCAGGTTCAGCCCAGGTCCCACTTCTGAGGTCTCCAGTTGCCCCCTCCTCAGCCTGGGGAGCTCTGCAGAGGGAGGGGCAGGGGAGGCTCAGGGCGGGCAGGACCTGGCTCCCTGGTGTGTCTGGGCCACAGTGTAATTCCTGACAGAGGCCTGAGCCAGGACAGACTGACGGAACCCTGTGTCCAGAACCACGGCCTTGAATGTGTACCGGGGGGGGGGGGGGGGGGGGGTCAAACGTTTTGACTCGAGAGCCACAATGGGTTCTTAAACTGGACTCAGAAGAAGGAGCTGCGGCCGTGTTTCCCGACGTTGCCATGTTAACACTGCTGCTGGTGAAGGAGCGGAGGGGAGAGCAAGAGAACCCTCCGCTCTTTCGGCTCCGCGGGCCGGATAGAACAGCCGAACGGACCGGATCCGGCCCGCGGGCCATAGTTTGCCCACGGCTGGTACATAGTAGGACTGGGCCACCTTCTGGATGAATCCCCAGACCCTATCGGCTCAACTGAGCTCCTAGAGCCCAGCTCCCTGGCAGCCCAGGACTCTGAACGGAGCCGACTAGTGAGTGACACACCGCCCACCGCTGCTGGGCCCCTGGGGTCACAGCTGGGCTCTCACTGGGAGGCACTGGGGTGAGCCGGCATGGCCATGGCATAGTCAGCCCCAGGGTGCCTTATGTGCCAGGCCAGCTCAGCCTGGTTCAGTGACCCTGAGAGGGGTCGGTGAAGGATTAAGAAAAGACAGCAAGAGAATGAAAGCTGGGTCTCAGTGGGATGCTGCTCCCTGATGAGGAGACAGTGCCAGCGCCCACAAGCCATGTCTTTATTTTATAGCAGATGCCTCGAGGCAAAGTAGGGGCGTGATCACGTTGTTCACAGCATTCTCGTGAGCTCCAACCCCACTCAACTACCTGCACCCGAACTCTATCACAAGGCACATGGGGCCACGTGTTTGGACCACAGGTTCATGCTCACAGCTACAACTGTTAGCTGTGATTGTGCTGGGAGGGCCCTGCCCTCAGGCTGGGACTTGCACGTGGCAATGAGAGGACCCTGTCCTTTCATTAGTCTGAGGCTTGAACCTGTCCGAACACTGTACCCGCGCCCCACAAGGCACCCCCGGGGCAGGGAAGGGCCTCCCCCGAGGTCATGGCCTCTCCTGAGTGAGACTCAGGCCCAGTGCGCGCCTGACGCCAAGGCCCCAAGTCCCTGCCTCAGGTCAGAAGGCCCTGCAGCCTCCAGTGCGGCCTCCATGTCACCACATTGCAGGCACCAGTCTGGCCTCCACGCTCCCCCCAGAGGGACCCCCTGGAGGAGGGTCTCCCGTCAGAGCGCTTCAGCGGCCCCAGAGAGCAAACCAGCGTCCAGCGGGCGGAGCACTGAGGGGACAGAGCTGCAGGGCGGCCTCTGGGGCTGCAGACGCTCCTCACAGCACAGATGACAGAGGGGCCCGTGTGGGGGGAGCCACCCGAGGCCAGAAGGCGCCTCCAGCACCTCAGAGGGCACATCCCACAGAGCCAGCCCCCAACCCCGCATCCTGCCCCCAGCAGAGGGAGAAGCTCTGAGGGAGGCACAGGCAGCTCCTCAGAGAAGCTTGGACTCCTTGGGGGCAAAATGGGCCCCAGACCCGAGTCTGCTCTGGTGGCATCTGGGCAAGTGTGAGGACCCGCAGCCCAGAAAGCAGTGAGCTGTGTCCCAGGAATCGCCCGCCTCCCCCATGAGAACCAACAGCTCAGAGAGGAGGACAGGATCCCTCCTCCCGCAGGAGAGGCTCAGGCCTCTGCAAACAGCTGCTCCCTCCTGCAGCCCTGAGTGACAGTCCCGCCGCAGGGGGCCATCCTGACCTTGACAGCGAGTGCGATGCTCTGACTGAACAGCCTCTCAGGACCTCGTGCTCCTGCCTCGGCTGCTCCCAGCGCAGGTCACGGCTCCAGGAGACTCAGTTCTGCGAGGGAGAGACAGGTACAGGGTCCCGCCCAGCAATGACTCTGACCACAGGCCCTCAGGAGATGATCACATGGGAAACCCCAGAATGTTCTTGGGGGACAAAGCAGCCTCTGCAGATCCCGGGCATCGCCCGCACTGTGACCCCAGGAGGAGTCCTGGAGGGTGAGCGACTGGTCTTGTCCCCCAGAGGCCCTGGTCGCCCCCACAGCCCCGTGGCCTCTCCGTGGTCACAGCTGTGACGCCACCTCCTGGGAAGGTGCCGGAGAGGATTCTCTCCTGTGTCTTTTCTTTTATTTAAAATATATTTTACTGATTTTTTTACAGAGAGGAAGCGAGAGGGATAGAGAGTTAGAAACATCGATGAGAGAGAAACATCGATCAGCTGCCTACTGCACATCCTCCCACTGGGGATGTGCCCGCAACCAAGGTACATGCCCTTGACCGGAATCGAACCTGGGACCCTTCAGTCCGCAGGCCTGCGCCCTATCCTCTGAGCCAAACCGGTCAGGGCTTTCTTTTCTTTTTTTAAAAGAATGTTTTTATTTATTTCAGAGAAGAAGGGAGAGGGAGAGAGAGAAACGTCAATGATGAGAGAGAATCATGGATCAGCGGCCAACTGCACGCCCCACACTGGGGATCCAGCCCCCAACCCGGGCATGTGCCCTGACAGGGAATGGAACCGAGACCTCCGGGTTCATAGGTCAACCACTGAGCAACACCAGCCGGGCTCTCTCCTTTTTCGAAAGAAAGTGACAGATACACCAAAGGTGGAGAGCAGTGTGGTCCAATGGATATAACACTTTAAACCAATATGTCATTCAACAACTTCCAGCGTCCTGATTTTAATGAGAACACACAAGTGCTGTCCGTTTTCATACCGGATTTTTTAAACTCACTTTCTTAAAATTATTATCACTTCAATGTGAATTAAATAAAAAATATTGATACTTTTACATGATTATTGTCCTGAGTTTTTAAAAACTGGAAAATATTTCAGAGTCCCCACCTCTGTGCACAGACGGGTCCAAATTTCAAGAGAAATGCAGATTCCAACGTGGTGCAGATGTGAGCGCTCTTCAGTCCCAACTCAAGGAGGACAGACACCTGAATAGAGAAAAGAGGGCGGGGCCAGGAGGGCTCAGGAGGCCTGGTGGGGGGGACTGGGTGTGGGGGAGGCCGCCTGTGGGGCAGGGCAGGGAGGGGGCTGAAGGTCAGGCTCTGAGGTCAGGCTCCTGCATTGGAGTCTTGACCCATCATCTCCGTCTGGGGGATTCTGGGAAAATCATTCACCTCCCAGGACGCTCCCTCCTCATTGGCTGGAGGAGAGGCTGGGCCCTCAGCAGAGGACGGTGTGGGCTCCTATGACGCTGAGTGAGGGGCCCAGGGACACACCCCCCACCTGTCAGCCACCAGGAAGCTCTCAGAAGCAGTCATGGTGATGAACCAGCTGCACAGGTAGGTGACATTCACCCTGGGGACACCAGGGGGCACTGTGGGGCCTGGTTTCCAGCCTTTAGAGGTCAGAGTCCCCTGGGCTGTGTCAAGTGCAAAGAGCAGGACTGAGCTCCTTTGAAGACCCTTCTGTTGGGCCAACCAGCTCTTAGCAATGAAACCCACACCTGCCCTCTGCCCCAGGGGTGTCCCCGCAGGAGGCCCGGGGCTCAGGGCTGGGCCAGCAGCTGAGACAGACCCTGGCTGGGCCCAGACAACAGATTTGCATCCCTGCTCCTCCCTCCTGAGCTGCAGGCAGAGAGGATAAGACAGGAGCTGGCAGGGCCAGTGCCAGCTGGGCAGCCGCAGGCAGCGCTCAGGACCCTCCCACCATGGCCTGGCTTCCCCTCTACCTCCTGCCCCTCGTCGTCTCCACAGGTCAGAGCGGCCACCGCACCTGGGGTCCTGCCCCCCATTCTCCCTCCCAGCTCAGTCCCAGGGGCGCCTGCTCATCGGGGTGCAGTGGGCATCGCTCTTGTGTTTTCTGTCCGCAGGTCTCTGTGCTGATCCTGTGCTCACCCAGCCCCCGTCTGCCTCTGCCGCCCTGGGGGCCTCGGCCAAGCTCACCTGCACCCTCAGCGCTGAGCACAGCAGCTACTATATACACTGGTATCAGCAGAGACCAGGACAGGCCCCTCGGTATTTGATGCAGGTTAACAGCGACGGAAGCCACACCAAGGGGGACGGGATCCCCGATCGCTTCTCGGGCTCCAGCTCCGGGGCCGACCGCTACTTAACCATCTCCAGCCTCCAGTCTGAGGACGAGGCGGACTATTACTGTGGTGTACCTTATGGCAGTTACTCACAGTGACACAGGCAGATGGGGAAGTGGGACAGAAACCTGCCCGCCGGGCCTGGTGCCCACGCTCACCCGCTGTCTGAGCAGCTGTGGGCCAGGCTCAGGGTCAGGAGTCCTCCCTGGGCCTGGCCCGGCCCCGGCAGCGCTGGGGGACTCAGCGGGTCCTCTGTCCTCTGGGGCCTCTGTTCCTGGTGATGGAAATGGTGGATGAGGAGAGAAACCTCCCTCCCTGGGCTTCTCCCACAGGTCGGGAGGGTGGATCATTGCCCCTCCCCAGGACCCTGAGCCCATGACTCTCCTCCTTGCACCCCCTCATCTCCCACCTCCTCCTGCTGAGAGCCCAGAGGAGAGGCCCGTGCGGGCACCACGTAGGTCCCTGGGACCCGACAGCATGAGAGTCTTCACCCACAGGCCTGTGGGGACGATGCTGGGAGAGCTGCCTGCTCAGGAGGGAAACACTGAGAGAGGGGCCGGGCATGAATACCGTGTCCCCCAGCCCTCAGGCCCTGCGCTCCAACCTGGGGATCTGGTCAGGGGAGAGGCCCACATCTTGGGGTCCTGGAGGTGACCGTGGCAGTGAACCCCTTCACTCGGATGCAGCATGGACTCCGACAGGGGCCTGGATGGAAGGGTGGTCAACAGGAAGTGTTTGGTCCTCAGGGAGGCAGGACAGAGCCCTAACCTGTGGGGGGCCCAGAGCTGGGGCCCAGGAGGGAGGCGGGGCCTGTGAGGAGGTCTGAGCAGAATTAGCCAGGAGCAGGGCCTGGCTCCTCCCACTGTGCCAGGGCCTCCCCTTGTGGGGCCAAGACAGGCTCCCCCTCTGCCCAGGCCTTTCCCATGGTCAGGCCAAGGTCATGTCCCCTGGGAGGGCAGCAGGGCCTGGGGGCGGGGAGACTGAAGTGGGAAACATGTGGCCTCCTTCCTGCTGGAGGGGAGTCCTGTGGGGGATCCCCCTCAATTACATCACAAGGGGAGCCCAGGAGAGGGGACGGGCTGGCCTCCTGTCTGGTTTTCTGGAATCTGAAATGCAGTGCCTTTCACACACCCTCACCGCCCAGGCCGCAGGGAGCAGCTGTGCACTCACTCTCCCGGGTCCCTGGGCGCTGAGCTGAGCTGGGGCAGGAGGGAGGCAGGGCTGGTCCCCAGTGGCTGGTTCTGAGATGAAGTTCCAGGAGCTGCCCGGGGCCGGGGTGAACCCCCAGGGGCAGGAGGGTAGGAGGGGCTGGTCTCCGGGGAGGGAGGGGACAGGGAGCAGGAGGAGATGGATCAGGACTGATGCCGCAGTCACCTCTATCACCCCAGGTGGCTGGAGGCACAGGGTCCCAGGGCCATGGTGTCCCCCTCTGCTGTGAAGGGCTGTTCTCTAATGGGCTGTGGTGACTTTATCCCAAACGAGGTCCCAGGTGCCCTCTGCCTCTCTCTCTTTCTCAGTCCCTCTTTCTCTGAAATAAATTAAAATACCTATATTTTAAAAAGAGCTCCTTCCTTGTCATTGCTGAGTAGTGTCCCTGGTCTGGGGGGACTGACGTCTTTTAACCTGTCCACGCAGGAGGGGCAGAGGCTTCCGTAGCTTCCCCCGTGGACGTGGTGCCCGCGGGGCCATGACCTCTGTGCACAGTGTCCCTGTGAGCACAGGCCTCCCTCTGAAATGAGTGCCCGGAGCACAGCTGCTGGGCTGTGTGCTGAGTGCGAGTCTCAGTCCCCGAGAGGCTCTGAGGCGCCTCCCCACAGTCACCGACCCTTTCCCGTTCCCACCGTCCCTGTACCCGCCTCCCTTCCTCCCGCCCCTGCCGGCACCGGAGTCCCTGTGTCACGGGAGCCCCTGACCCGTGTGTGGTCCTGTCTCGCTGTGGTTTCGCTGGTGTTTCCCTAACAGCTGAGGATGGACGCCCTCCCCTGTGCTCATGGCCGTCACACACCCTCTTCCTGACGCGCCTGCTCTTGGATCTGCCTGTGTCCTCCTGGGCTGTGATTCTTTGGCTAAATGTCATGTTTCCTCCTGTCCTCTCTGCACTGGTCACCATTGGATGTGCTGTTAACACCTATGTCTCTTCTCTTCTCTCTGCTGCCTGTTTCTTTAGAAAACTTTGCAAAGCCAAGGAGGCTGTTTTCCATGAGCTTCAATGTACTGATCGTTTCTTTGGTG